AAATTCGTACATAATTCTTTTACAATTCACCATAAATACGTTCATTTTCTTTATTCATATTTTATTTCTTCTTAGCAGTATTTAACAATATTCACATTATTTAATAATATTTCACTCAATAACATTTTTAATATTATTAAGCAATATTAATATTTCTTGGAATATTAATCGATCATTTTGTATTATTGAAAATAAAAATTAATAATATACTAATTATATTACTATGATTTTTCTTTCAGGTAAGTTGATCGATGGACATCACCGACATGTTTATCGTCGACTTTAACTTTCCAAACATTACGGTAATTATTTGATTTTTGAGTATTTAATACGATTAAATTAATTTATTTATAAATATTTATAAATAATTAATTTATTCTTACAATTTATGAGTTTTATTGTTAAACTTTCCAATTATTTTTTGAATTTATTTTAATAATAATATGTTTGCAGTTACATAAAAGAAAATAAATATTTTTATTATTGTTGTAAAATAAATTTAAAATTGTATTGAATAAATGGATAAAGACTTTTAAAAATTGAAAATTCATATTGACGAGTGTACATTTTCAATATTAGAATTTCGTATATTTATGAAACTAACCAAAAGTCTATAAAAATATATAACAGTTCCTGTTTTGTGTTAATTAAAGTAGTAGATAATAAGACACTTTGAATAAAATTGTAATCATCATAAAATGCCAAACTAATCGATCAAACTTCAATTTGATTCATAGAGTATTAAAGAATTATGTGATCAGTGTGTATAAATTAATATGTATATAGTGTAAAAATTGAATTATTTTCTCATATTTTAATCTATAGAAGTTCTAGTAAGATAATCAAAATATTAATGTATAGATTAACAAATAATACTATTCAAAAATTTATTATAATACAATTCATATTTTCATTCTACACTGAAATTGAATTAAAGATTGAAACACCTGCTCGTGTATAAGCATTAAATTTCTAAAAAATTTTGTTTATATAAATTGAAATCAGATGTCTTTACAATAAAAAAATCATTACCAATATCTGATTAATTTAAATAAAAGGGGTTTAGATATATTATATAAACAATAATTTCATAATTTCATAATTAAACAGAAAGCGTCATGTATATGTGTCAATATCTCGTCTAGGTAGTAATACATACGGAATAATTAACTTAATAGAAATTAATATGTTTTAAACTGATAACATTAGGGAAGTGGAATAAAATGAATAAGAAAATAAGACAAAAATAAAAATATTTCATATCCATTTATTTTACGCGACATTACGAAAAATAAGAAAGCTCGGGCATCACCTGTAGTCAAGAAAACTATACTGAAAAAAATGTACAGATAAGCAAGCTAAAGCGGGAAAGAAGATTGCACATAGATGGGGAGAGGTAAGAAGGTACTGAAGTATAAAAAAAGTTCCCAGTGACGTCGTTTTTACGTTTCATCGTAAAAAGGTAGGCTACTCGCTCCAGGATAATAAAGGAGTCGAACGTCTCAGGAGCTACTGTAAACTACTAGTGTCGACAGGACATGCGCTTAACGCCGTCGAATACATAATACACGCGAGTTATATCGCCTTGCGCTTTTTCGCGTCCACGCGCGGTCCGAGTAGAAAATTGTGTTTGCCATGCGAGGGTGAGATGCCATTGCTCGTAAAAACGCGCCTAGAGAACGGTATTTAGGGGTGGAATTCGAAATGAATCGAATTCTCTTCTGCCTTTCGTGTCAAATGTCGTGCTATTTTTCGGGATTAGAGATAACACCTACTCCGTATTATCTAGAGAAAATCCCAGAAATAAAGGACGACGTTACTCTTAAATATGTATAAATAAATATTATAAGTATAATAATTATCCATGTGAATTGCCTCCAAATGTGCTATTCATCCTATTATTCTAATAAGAAAATAGATTTTTATATTTACAAAAATTAAAATTATTAAAATTTATCGTAGAAAATATCTTTTGTAAAGTTACTTTGTGATACATTCTGTTTAAATATATAATAATAAAATCTGACGCAAAACGGATTGAAACCGAATTAATTCATCTTACATAATCGATAACATGTATAAATTTCTAAAACTTCAAATTATTCCATTCAATAATTATTGACTCACTACAAATGACTGATATATTTTGAATAATCAGCATATTTAATAAATATGATACATTATTCTTTAAGACATATGTAAAAAATAATTATAACATATTTCCTAACTTTAATTATACTTTAAATATATTTATAATTAAGTTTCAAATTAAACTCTATTAATTTGCAATGATTCAATTAATTATTTAAAGTTTATTACCTACTTCATATATATTTTAAGAATTAAAATTTATTATTATTTATGAAGAACAAAATATTTATAATATTTTTAACATATCTAGAATATAAATATTTCAATTCAAAATTGTTTACATAACATATACTCGAATCAATTATATTTCTATTATTGAAGATTATATAATAAATTCATAAAACACAAATCAAAATCAGTTAAATTATTCATTAATTCGGTGTGTAAATAATCAATTAGAACTAGATTATATTACTATCACATAAATTAAAAGAATAATTTAAAATTATATTTATTAATGATAAAAAAGTAAGCAAAAATTAAAATTAAATTTCATCTATTGAATGGTATCCAAAATTATCGGTGACTCCTAGCGTCTTTTGTATGCCAATTTACGTATTCGGTTAAAAAAGTCAACAATAAATAGAATTGAATAAATAAAGAAAAAAAAGGAAGTTGGTACGGTCAGACAAAGAGAGGTAATATTAAAGAAAAAGTGATGAAAGGAAACAAAAGAAATTAAGGAAAGACAAATGAGAATAGATAAATGATACGTACACAGTTTTTCTTATGTAATTTAGGAGTTTTTAAATTAAAGGTTATTTTATAAAAATATATTATTTATTTTAAAAAAAAACCCCAATTTAAGCAAATATATTTTACTGATAAAAGATAAGTATACTATATAAATGTATAGTTTTATTTAACTAATTATTGAAGTATAAATTTATGTGTGTTTGATATATAGAATCATTAAATAAATGATAAGAATATGTAAAAAAATACTTTCATTAATATTATAATGACGCATGTTAAATTTAATATGCTATGATATTAATATATAAAGTAATAATATGTGTTGATATATAACTTGGTATATAATCATAAAAAGGTATTAACAACCATTTCATTTCGATATTTAAAATATTATATAGTAAAATAATATATTTCTTGTTAAAATTATTCAGAATTCTTTAATGCATTGAATAAAAACAAAATTTATTTGAAATGACGCTTAAATTTAAAAAATATTATTTTGGATTACTTAATCTTTAATCAATATTGATTTTTAAAAAATTTATTATATTAATATTAATATTTATCAGTACCTAAAATCTATGTACTATAGAAATATAATATAAGGTAAATATTTTCATCTTGGAGTTTATATAATAAAAAAGCCCTGTATGTTATACTATGGAGATTCCATAATATATATTTACTCAAAATTACTTATTTAATCCGTCTACAATCATTGTGTTCAAATAATTTTCCTCATTTTTTATTGTATTATATACTGCGTTTATTTCAAAAAACGATTAGCATATATATTATTGATAAAACATGATTTCTGACAGTTTCATTATAATATTTTATTCATTTTAGGTATATTTAAAGTTTTATTTATAATTCTTTTTGTTTTTTAAATATTATAGATTGTAATTAGTATATATTATATATTTTTTTCTACATCAAAATAATATATTTAAATTAAAATGATAGTATAGATAAAAATTAATTTACAATATGTTTTATGCGTAATTCAATTAGGATGGTTTAATACTCTTGCATTCGATGTTTCTTTGAAATATGTTAGGCCTCGTTCAGGAACGATTAGAGCAATCAGAATCGTCACGTAATCTCCTCATCTACTCAATCCCAATCGTCAAAAGCAACAAAAGTACAGCCGATTAAAGCGAGGTTTTGCAATCGTAAACAGCAATTCCTACCACAACATTGGAGACAATAATTATTATTGACCAAAGAAATTTCCTATCATATACATCTATAACTTTATTATGCAGATAGGTTTAAACTATACTGTTGAACGATTCTAAAATATAGGAATAAATAAAGAATAGAACTGAAATTGCGATGAGTTTGTTAACTTAAAAATATGGGTTCTACTAGACTGCAAGTAAAGCTCTAGTTGAATTGGATTTTCCATGAAAGAAGCGAATTTTGTAAGAAGTTAATTAAAGTTCATACTTTTTATTTATTTGATACCATGATGATTGAAGAATGGTATTTAGTTTAATAATTATATCAATTATAAACTGGATTTTTAATGATTGGAAAATAGATTAATTAATAACAATTTGTATAAAAACAGACTACATATTATTTTTAAGATATTAATTAAATAAGCTTTAATACCACTTAAATATAGTTATTCAAATTTCGGTTTATTCATTTATTTTTTAGACATTAGAAAATATTACACAATAGATATACAAAATATTGTTCTATAAATATATCATAATTATATTATGATAAAAATATCAATAATATTTTAATAAAATGACACTCAGAACCTCAATTATTATTTTAAATACACACAAACTTATTAGTTATTACTTATTATTCTAATTATAAAAAATATAGGAATTATTAGATTACAAATTATGAGATAACTTTTATTAGTAAATATATTTAATAGCTTACTAAAATAAGAAAAATTATTGATTTTATATCTATAATATAATATACATTTTTAATTTGAATCAAATCGTTTGTAAGAGGTAAATAATAATCATGGTATAATTTAATAAAGAAAATTACATATTATTTTCTGAATATAGGAAATGTGTCTATGTATAAACAATTAATATTAGTAGCAATTTTCATTACATTAATTGAAATAACTTATGAAAAGTATTTAAAATTATTAATAATATTTTATCCTGAATTTACGGTTTCATTTTCTTTTTTATCCAATTGACGAAATGAGAAACTCGTACATAAACTGGTGGCAAATTATTTGTAGTGCAGGGTAATGAACTCCAGCTCACAACACCAATTACTATAGGTTTATTGTCTTTATTATATTGAACAAGGGGTCCTCCATGATTAGCCTAAAATAAACGATGGATAAAATGTAATTATAACTGATTTTTATGTTATGTGCAATATGTGATAGGGAGCTTGATTTACAAATTTCATTTTCATATCGAAACTACGTCTTATTCTTAACTTCTTGAATATAAAAGCATATATTAAATATAAATCCATAGCGAATCATGTGGCATTTCAACATCTCAATCACAATAATATTTTTATATTCATAAAAGTAATAAAGTTTATGTTATCGTATGCATTATATCATCAAGGGATAATAAACAATCCAAGTGTCATCGAATAAATTTATATAAAAACTTACAATACAGGCTCCAATCGTTCCATCAAGAGGTCTGGTACACATTTGGTGATCGGAGAAAATGAAACCAGGAATATGGTTCCTTATTGCGTCTTGGCAAACTCTACTACGCACTTTCGGCAAATGTATGGTGCGCATTGCAGTTGGTTGGTCAGGCATCATAGCATGAGGAAATAAACCCCAGCCGCTTGCTATGAAATTATATTCCAATTTCTGATCTCCAATCAAAGTCTTGGGTTTTGGAAGTTTAATTGGTTTTACAAAATCGTTAAATACTAGAGCCGTTTGTCCTTTGATTAAACCTATATCGTAATGCGCTAGATTTCCAATAACCGGCCCCCTCCTGTACGGAATACTCATTTGAATATTAATTTTAATATGTATTAATATCAGTTTTTATTATATTTTATTATTATAATTATTATTATTATTATATATACATTAATATCATAAGATCAAAAACTATTAATATCAGATATTTTAATTATTAATTTATAATTAATATAAATAAAACAATATATCTATATTGTTAATTTTAATAATTACAGTAGTATTGATTATGTAATTACTATTACAAAATTACATATAACATTCCTGACGGTATATGTAAGTACATGAAATCTACATTATTTAATGAAAATAATAATTGAATACTAATAATAAAATGGAACAGAAAGTATAATGAAAAATAAAATTAATGTTCATTATAAATAATTGAAATTAAATTAATGCGAATTCTTGATGAATCAATTATATTTAGACAAATCTATTTGATATCTAAAATAAATAATTCATTAGAAATAAAACATATTGTCATTATACAAATATGAATAATAATCGTTATTAAGTATTTTATAATTATGCTTGCCAGTGCGTAGATAAACTTGCCTAGAATTTCATTACCATCATCATCGATACTCAATAAAATTTATAATGAATTTTCAATTATTCTATTAATTATTCATTGAAAGAAAAGATTACCTTATAAATATATTCATTCAGAAAAGTAATTAAAATTTCAACTCTTACCCTGGATATTTTCCGTGAGTATTAACACTTGCTATTTCAATTATCTGATCATGTTCAGAAGTTGTACCAATATTATGACTACCAGCTTTAACAACAAGGCGCCCACTTTCTGGTGTAAAGTCGATACAGTGTGCCGCAGTTAAGTACCAAAATTCGTTAAGAACGGTGGCAGCACACGAAGTAAAGAGGCTTGATATCTCGTTTGGTTTCCACATTATTCCAACTATGTAGGGAAATTCGCCAGGAACGGCAAGTCTTTGAGTATCCCATGATAACACAATGGCAGCTATAAATGAAGAAAGTCATCTTAACTGATTTTTAATGTTTGAATTTCTGGAACTTGAAAACCAAAATACAATCGTATAAACATTTTTTGTCGTCGTTATAATGTTATTTTGGTTATAGTGTTTTTAATATATAAGGCTATTTATATTATTATACTTTCAGTGTAGCACACCTGTAATAAATTTTACATATGCATGAATATATTTAAATCTAATATATTTAAAGTCGTTTCTGATACAGAAATTTGAACAAATTCAATTTTATATATTAAATATTTAAAAAAATATATTAAGTTCTCCGTTGATAAAATTGATGAAATAAACGTAGCTTCCAAAAAAAATTTCAATACGATTACACAGATTGATGTATACATATTACTATTTGTACAATAAAAATTGTTATATAAAAATTATTAATACAGTGCGAATTATTTTAAATGTACATAGAAATTTAAGAGGACATACTGAATATGTCAAATCTATTAATTCAATAAGTAGATGAACATTCAAGGACAAATTCTGTATTAAATTATTAATCGTATTATCACCTAAAATAGTTTACCTTGGACCAAAAGAACTGAGGTACTTATTATGATGCCAAACTTCATGGTGAATGATTAATTCCTTTTTTAATCGTTCTTATTAGTATATATACATAAACTTTCAATATACATTAACATACAAACTGAGAATATGATGTTTTTATGTAATCAGTAAATTTTATTATTATATGCATCAATTAATTTAAAACGGCGAATTATAAAATAACATAATGAACAAATAATTTAAATAAATATAACATCATCCAACCTCACGAGTACACTATTTGTTAAAATTTTAGTACAACGACAATTCCTGCTACAGTTATATTATATATATTAATATAGTAATTTCTCAATTTGTAAAGCTATAAAATCATATTTGTACAATGTGAAAAAAAAAGACAGAATAGAATAAAACACGTTCAAATCCCTACAAATTAATTATATAACCGACAAATTATAAGAAATAATAACTACATACGTAAAAATATAATATTAGTAAATTATTTACAGAATTTACATTTACAGATCACTTCTTCCGTCTACATAGATAAACCAATGTTAAAAAATTGATAATACTTGAACTCAACTAGGTACATAATATTAATATGTCGTAAAATTCGAAGTGATTTTGTAGGATTAATTTAATTCAAATATCTTGATGGTAACAATTTTTCGACAGCAAAGAAGTTGCCAGAAATTATCTATTGTTTGCACAACAAAGCTACAGTAGCTTTGCATAAGCTATCGTTGGGTTCATAGGACCTTCAAAGGTTCACAATCCTAGAAGGCTTCGTAATCTGTATTAATTTAACCTAGCAATAGATAAATTGTTTTTGAACAGTTTTTGTTTATGCACACTAGCAATCATATGATAATTGTTATCAACTGATTCGAGTCAATTCTTAACATTGCGCGCATTTGTGTATTAACATTTGATAAAGCTAGTCGCACGAATGAACGTTTTAATGAAACACGTAATTTTGACTAAACATTATACAGCAACTAATTTTTGAAATTCTAATTGATGAAAATGTAAGAAGCAAATAAGTACACCACGTACCGCTTAAAATCAGTTACGAAAGAAAAAAAAAGCACAAATCACTTATTTTATCGTATAAAATTAAGCAGCTAAAATTAGTTTGTCAGTTAAGCTATTTAGAAGCTACAGAAAGAGGATATCGACTGACATGTGATACATCATCCATACAAATAAATGTATTTACGATTAATTTAACCAGACGGTCGACTACAATTCTCTTTCAGCTTCTGCTCGACCCAACCTAGAAAATATTCAACTTTTGTGTAAACAGGAGGCAAGCCATTTTTGTTGCAGGGCTCCGAGTTCCAATTGGATATACCCACTAGCACCGGTATTACATCAACTTTTTCGTGGTAAATAAGTGGACCTCCAATGTCACCCTGTCATACGCAAGGAAGGAAATTACGTTAATTTTCATAGTTCTCATTAAATCGAAGGCTCGATTGTCTGAGATTTAATTTAAATATCGTCCGCCATTAGAATATTATGTTATGTCCTATTTAAGAATTTAAATATCATATACAGCTTAATTTATAACGTATATAGCAGTTACCTTATGTTTAATCGATTTGCTGTTAATCGTGAGATTCAATGTATAAATATTCTGACATGTATAGTAGATTTCATTATGTAATTGCGAACATGGGAGTATAAATTTGTCGATTATCATTCTCGATGAAGCAACTGTTTTTACAATATCGAAGCATATAAAAAGGTGAATCCTAATCGCAATCAATGCAATAAAATATAACTTTACACCAATTATATAATATTTATCAACAATAATAATTCATTTTATAACACATTTTAGGCAGATGGGCAATCTCATTGTTATCCTTAGAAAATGAATATACTTACAATACACGCTCCGAGGCTCCCGTCCAAAGGTGTCGTGCATATCTGCATTTCAGATATTCTGAATTGAGGCCAGATCTTCTTGATAGCATTCTCGCACTCGTTGTTGGAAATAATAGTTGCATTGACGGTGCGCATTATGTCCGGATGATCAGATAGAGCACCGTAGGATATCGAGCCCCAGCCACTCAAGATCACATTGTCACCCAATTTGATCTCATATGACCAGGTTTTGGATTTCGCCATTAGGATGGGCTGCACTCGTTTATCAAAGTCCAGCTGTTTTCCTAATTGGATCAGACCGATGTCGTAGCAAGCGAGGGTTTTCAGTGTTTTTGCCCTAATTGACATTTTTCTTTTACTTTTTGTCAAAAATCTTCAACGCCAGAATTTTAACATAACTAATCTGCATTCTCCACACGATGACATAATTAGTATTCTAACCGATAAGTGCTTCGGATATACCTATTCTGAACTGGTAATATTCGTTTTCAATACTCTTTTCAAAAGTGATAAATTTATATCATAATAATAATTAATTATAAAATACGAAATAAGATAAAGTTTAAGTATATGCAAGATTTTATTTATAAAGCAACCAATGTCATATATTACACTGTATTGGAAACGAGTACAATTCTTGTTTATAATTAATTTTTAATGTATTATGATAAAACTAACTAGACTAGCCTCAATAATTAAAGAACTTACGTCCTCTGTACGAATTAAACGTAAATTTACCAAAAAATTGAAATTGGTATAACGTTTTTTACTCTACGTATCTTCATTGAGATAATAAATTGAGTTTTAAAAATTTAAACGATTCTTTCCAACAATTATGCCGACGACTAAGTTTGTGCAATAACATATAGGAATGTCTCACCCTTCGTATTTTTCATGAACAATCATTTGCTTGATTGGCACGTTATGTACAAATTGATCGTCTTTGTTAATATTATAACTGCCAGTCCTTACATACACAGTACCATTAGAAGGTGCATTGGTGATGCAATAAGCCGAAAGCAAAATCCAAAATTCAGTAATAATAGCACCACTGTAAGATGAACAGATTTAATATCTTATTTTAGATTCATGCTATCACTTATGTGGAACATTTATTGCTTTTATTTTATTAAGCTCATTTTTTTTACTTTCAACAAATAAAGAAAATGCCTTTTTCCCTTCCCCTCCTTGCAGGATGAATGTCCGTTCGAACGATGGAGAGCAGGATAATGATCGCATGAACTGTATCCTATCTAATGTAAATACGCTTGTAACGCCGGAAATCATTTCAATCTCTTACACTAATTCAACAATCACTAATGCTCAGCTGACACTAGCAGAGGATCAGACATTTTTACTTAGTAGTACAGAGTTCGAACTATTGTAATCGCATTGCTGCAGTTATACGAGTCACCTCTAATTTAGGTTCATTGATTAGATTGACGATTGCGCCGAAGTGGATACTAAGGATGAACATGATACCCTGTATCTATAGATTATTTAACACTACAGGAAAATTGGAGCTGACAAGTATAAGGCTACTACAGGCAACTTGAGATTAGTTAGAGTATTATTTATAATGTATAAATCCTATTTTTTATTGCTTCTAATAACTTTATATTCGTATAATTACTACAGTTTACAGTATAGAAAAGAAAAATTTTATTTCATACTATTTTTATGTAATATTGAGAGTATTGAATTGTTCATCATAGGACTTTGAAATTAATTGTATATATTTAGTTTTATAAACACTGAATTCATGTATAATTATATGTGATTGGAATTAAAATTTAATGCTAGTAGGAATAAAAAAGGATAGTTTGAAATAAGTTTCAGTATTTGACAAATTTTTTTAATAGTTTCAGATTGATATATAAATATTGACAATCTTATCAATTTTTATACATAACATTACGAATCTACAAAAGCTTAAAAATACTATTATTTAATCACATTATTATTGATTGAAATTATAATTGCAATTTGGCAGAACACAGCATAAAAAAGTTATAAACGTTAAAATATTTATAAGCAGTTAAATAAAACAAATTAACATTGTACTGTTGTTTATCGAATCCTAGTACGACCCTAAATTTATAATAGTTCTTATTATGTAATTTACTTTTCTTCTCACCCATACGTCCAATTCTTAATTATGTTAATAAAATAATTGAAATTTTAAAATTTATGTTTTATTAAGTTTAAATTGTAGATATTCCCACCTGCAACATAAAATGCTCAACATACCGAATATGGAAAAATCTTCAAGTAAATATAACATATTTTTCTGACCTCTCACGTAAAGCTAAAAATATGCGGCTCAATTTTATATTTAATTTGAACGGATAATTGAATAATAATTTAAAGTACTACATTTTATTTTATCAAGTATTATATTTATAAACTATTTATTAAATAAATAGTGTATTTTTAATAAAGGAAATGAAGTATTTATAAGTGTACAACTTGTGTAAATATAGCAAATAATATATTATGTATACTAAATATACTTATGTATTAGATACATGTTACATGCATTCAAAAAAATTTTTTACAAACGTACAATTGTATCAACCATCGCCTCATTATCATCGCTTTTATATAACTGTAACCTTAAAAATTAATGATAAATTTCTATATATTTATATTTTATAAACAAATAATATTTTTCTGAATAAATTTAATACAAATGATTTATTTTGTCTGAAAACAAATTTTTCCCTAACGATTCATAAATTTTTTCGCAAATAAAAGAAAATTTATAAAACAAAAACCTATTTATATTATTATTTTTATTTGATAACATTGAATTCTATATATGAAATCTATATCTATCGAAATTGCAACACAGTAGTATAAAATAATATGAATAATATGCCAAATTAATTAAAACACTATAGTGATATAAAAACAAGAAAATACCTCTATTTCGTAATTTGAATTTTTTAAACCAATAGATACATTCAAAACATTAAGTAAAAGTAAATTATATAAATTTAAAATATTTAGATTTTACAGTTTCTTTCATTCTATCAAATATTTTCAATCTAACATTTCATTTCATCACTATAATTTTATTGTATAATGACAATTTTGAATTCACTATGAAATATATTGAACCATGAAACAATACCTTTGAATTAAAATAAAAAATTAATTATATGGTTTCACGAATTTAGACAACTCCGTATAAATATATATCGCAGTTCACAAGGATTTTACTGGAAAATTCAGAAAATTATAACTATCCTGATCTTTTCACTTCAGTTCAAATTAATTTCATGAAAGACACAATAAGTACAAAGAGATCCTTCTTTTCTCAAAGAATTTTTAATCAAATGTTTTCCTCCATAAAGATAACGTATTTCATCAAGAAGAAATAAAAGTCAACCATAAAATTTAAACAGCCAAAACAAATTCTGAAACTTACTTATTGAAAAATATGTTCAGAGCTTATAAAACATAATTATTAATACAAACAAAACAATAATGAAGATATATAATATACAAAATCCTATTAAAAATTCATATTAACGTGCAAGCTTATTAAAAATTATTTAAATAAAATTTAAGATTTTATTTTTCTTTTTATCCAATTGACGAAATGAGAAACTCGTACATAAACTGGTGGCAAATTATTTGTAGTGCAGGGTAATGAACTCCAGCTCACAACACCAATTACTATAGGTTTATTGTCTTTATTATATTGAACAAGGGGTCCTCCATGATTAGCCTAAAATAAACGATGGATAAAATGTAATTATAACTGATTTTTATGTTATGTGCAATATGTGATAGCAATATAAAAGCATATATTAAATATAAATCCATAGCGAATCATGTAGCATTTCAACATCTCAATCACAATAATATTTTTATATTCATAAAAGTAATAAAGTTTATGTTATCGTATGCATTATATCATCAAGGGATAATAAACAATCCAAGTGTCATCGAATAAATTTATATAAAAACTTACAATACAGGCTCCAATCGTTCCATCAAGAGGTCTGGTACACATTTGATGATCGGACATTGTGAATCCAGGAATAAGGTTTCTGAGTGCGTCTTGGCATACTTTATTACGTACTATAGGCAAATGTATGGTGCGCATTCCACTTAGATTCTGCGATACGAAAGCATGAGGAAATAACCCCCAGCCGCTTGCTATGAAATTATATTCCAATTTCTGATCTCCAATCAAAGTCTTGGGTTTGGGAAGTTTAATTGGTTTTATAAAATTGTTGAATGTCAGAGCCACCTCTCCTTTCACTAAACCAATATCGTAATTGGCCAGATTTGCGTGTATTGGTGACATACTATATAGACATACCACAATAATAATAATAATTATACTAAACTATTTATTGTAAATTATATTTCTTGTAAAAGCCTGGGTTTCAATGCTAATTGTAATATAGTAATAAATGCAAATTGTTGATTAAAATCGTATAAAATCAAATTTATATCATTTATTGATACATCTAGGAATAATTATAATAATTTGCATTACATGAGTATAAATCGATAACATCGTAGAACAAATCGACATAATCAATATTAAAAAATAATTTAAATTATATAATTTGTTTTTAATTTTTACAAAATCTGTTTTGCACATTTACATGCAATATGTTATGGAAAAAATGCAAGCTTTTTAATCTATTATATAGCAAACTTAAATAATATAATAAAAATAGAAATCAATGATTTTGACACGACAGATTTAACAAAATATGTTCGTCTGTGTTAATGAACTAAATGTCTTCGAAGAAATAAAGTGATAAAGTTAAAAGAACTATAATAAACGATAATTCTTAATTATAACATAATGTAGGAACATTGTAAACAAGAATATAAAATTTATATAAAAAGAAATTAAACTTTAGCTTTAAAAATTAATAGTTTATTGCCATTATTAATATAGGCAGGCATTTAGCAATTGTTGTCTTCTATTAACGAATGATATTCTGTTAATAAAAAAATTATATTAATATTTTACAATCATAACTAAGCCAATGTTACTACTGAGATATAGCAGAGCCTGTTATAAAGATATATATATATATATATATATATATATATATATATTTATCAACTTTAAAGAGTGTAGCTTCAATTTAAATAAATATTTTAATAAGTTTGTGTGGAATAATCATACCCTGGATATTTTTCATGAACAATACGTTGTACTATTTTAATTAATTTTATGTTTTCATCAACTGCAGTTATATTATGAGTACCAGCTTTGATAACGCTATAACCAATTTGTGATACAAAACTGATGCAGTGTGCCGCAGTTAAGTACCAAAATTCGTTAAGAATAGCGCCGGCACACGAAGTAAAGTGGATAGCTATTTCGTTTGGTTTCCACATTATTCCAACTATGTAAGGAAATTCACCAGGTTCGACAACTTTGGGTGTATCCCATGATAACACGATGTTGGCTATAAATGAAAAAAGTCATCTTAACTCATTATTAATGTTTGAATTTCTGGAACTTGAAAACGAAAATAATAACTCTGCAATAATTTCTATGTTATAACAACGATATTGAAATTAATCCTATAATTATTTTAATTAAATATCATGGCAGTTTAAAAACTTACAATTACTTGTAAAATAATTCATTTATATTTGTTCACATTTTGTAATACGCAATGATAATGTAGATATATATATATAGTAATTGGTGATTTTACCTTTTATTAAAAGCAGTGATATTAATACTTCAACTATCAATTTCATAGCGAACAAGTCTTGCCAAGAACTTGAACTTTCTTTTGTGTAGTATTCACAATTTGAATGTAAATTAATGATTAAAATAAATGTACCGTTAATCTATTTATGTACGCTAGCCGTATTGGAATTACGCTAACTTTCATTGGCTTTTATATTATATAAACAGATGGTTTCATTTTTTACAAGATAATTAATTTGATAATTAAACGTTTGGATAACCTTAGACAAATATTTTTTAATTTCTAAATTTTATTATATATTTCTCATAGTAAGTAATTTTATTTAAATAAATTCAAGCCTCACTCCACAACATAGAATATTGAATAGTACAGAGGATGAGAAAAACTAAAATGTATTTTCAACTACAGTATATTATGTATAGTAATTATTTAATGGAAACTATTAACAATGCATGGAAACATTATTTTATGGTAAATCTGTGAATTGATTTGTCACAGGTATTGTCAAAATTAATATTTTATTATAATTAAAAACATGAGAATATTGATTTTTTATATTATTTTCATTAATAATATCGCCCTTTTAAGTAATAATATATGAAAATTAATCAGATTCTAGTAAATGTATAAATTTATAAATGTATAAATAAAATATGACTGTTTACTGCGATATATATTGAAGTACAAATATGTGCATAGCTGACTATTACAATTTGTATAATGTTTAATTTTAAAAAGATATTTGTACATAACAACAATAAAGATAACAAGTATAATTTATCATTAATGAATTATACATGTTAGCATTGTTAGAAAACAATACATATATTCTTGACTTAGTAATCATTATTGAAAAAAATGCAGAAAAATATTCATTCTTAGATCATTTATGTTTTTACTTAAAATAATCATAAATATAAAATATTATAAATTAAAGATATAATGTATGAATGATTATGTAAATACAATTACATTATTAAAATTATTAATTATACTACGATTATAATATTCATTTGGCATAATGTTTAACTTCATAAAAATATTAATGCTACAATTGCTAACAGATTTTCCTAATTGTAACGTGAATCTACTTCCTTAATTTAAATTTTGCAATCAATGGTATTGTGTTCTGGATTTCCAAACTTAAAAAGATAATAATGTACCAAAAAGTACAATATCTTTGATATGTAATGGTTATATTTAATTAAGCAAACTATCAGTTGTTGAACTCTAACTTTTAATACAGTGTATGAACTACAATATATTTTCAACTATTCCTCTAAAATAAAGTATAATCAGTATCACAAATTAACTTGATTAACTTCATCAACCAATAGTGAAAGTGCTATCATTTAATAAAATAAAAATACTGAGAAAAGAAGTCAAATAATCTACGACTTTTAATAATATGTTTAAAATATAAAAATATATTTTATTTATTCATACAAATCATTGAAGAAAAAATTGTTTATTAATGTTTTCAACTGTATATTTACAATATTCTTCAAATTGTACATATAGAAATCATACATAATAACATGAAATTTTTTTAAGTAGATTCAATTTTCCATAAAAAAAAACAATATTATTTGTACTCAATTAACTTGTCAATTTCCTTATTGAAAATTATATTATATACATTATAATTTTACAAAATATCATATATAAAATAAAAAATAGTATTTGAAGATATTTAATATATAAGTTCCAATAAAAAATGTTTATTAGATTTTTGTTTTTCTTTTTATCCAATTGACGAAATGAGAAACTCGTACATAAACTGGTGGCAAATTATTTGTAGTGCAGGGTAATGAACTCCAGCTCACAACACCAATTACTATAGGTTTATTGTCTTTATCATATTGAACAAGGGGTCCTCCATGATTAGCCTAAAATAAACGATGGATAAAATGTAATTATAACTGATTTTTATGTTATGTGCAATATGTGATAGCAATATAAAAGCATATATTAAATATAAATCCATAGCGAATCATGTAGCATTTCAACATCTCAATCACAATAATATTTTTATATTCATAAAAGTAATAAAGTTTATGTTATCGTATGCATTATATCATCAAGGGATAATAAACAATCCAAGTGTCATCGAATAAATTTATATAAAAACTTACAATACAGGCTCCAATCGATCCATCAAGAGGTCTGGTACACATTTGGTGATCGGACATTGTGAATCCAGGAAAAAGGTTTCTGAGTGCGTGTTGACAGACTTTATTATGTACTATAGGCAAACGTATGGAACGCATTGTTGTTTGTTGCTCAGATACCATGGTATGCGGAAATAATCCCCAACCGCTTGCTATCGAATTATACTCTGATTTCTGATTGCTATAAAAAGTCTTGGATTCAGGTAATTTAATTGGTTTTACAAAATCGTTGAATGTCAGAGCCGATTGTCCTTTGATCAAACCAATATCATTATATGCTAGGTTTGTTTGATTTTGGAATTGTCTTACTAATCTAGTAATTTTTTTAAAAATATTAATAATTTCATTGACTGCATGAATAAAGAAGTGATATTTTTGTTGTGTTGCTCAATGTTTCTTATTATAGAAATAAATATACTCTTAATCAATTATTTGATTGTGGTAGTTATAGAGTAATATTTTGAATAATTATAAATGCATTATAAACGATTATTAAATTAAATAAATTTACTAATCGGTTAATGGTTATTTAATAGTTTAGTAATAAATAAGTAAAAGAATAATTAATAATTAATCTTCATTTAACTGTTGAAACTAAACTAATGAAATATTATTTCAAGATCATGATTGACGTTTGAAACTTTCCCCTTCGCGAAAAGTTGTTCTTACGTAATCTATGGACAGTATATAAAAAAGAATATTGAATCTGAAATCGATTTCACAAATTGAATGTTATGGTAAAAATACTATAATTATAAAATTTGAATGCAGAATCATTTTACTAAAAATATTGTAGTTCAATTAGTTTATTTTCATTTAAATATATATAAATAAATTATACATAAAATATGCCATAGCGTATGTATATATATATATATATATATATATATAACCATACATAAAATATACCATAATATACAACCATTAGCATTAAAAATTATTCTTTATTATATAATTATCCTTAACATTCTATAGATATATTGCCTAAATTAAATAGCTCGTTATATAAACTTAATTTATATTAAAAATTTTGCAGTCTTAAATTTATGTAAATAAATAAATTATCTGTTAAAAATATTAATAAAAAAACGTTAATGAAATAAATGAAACCTTACCTTGAATATTTTTCGAAAACAATAATATTTGCTATTTTAATAATCTGATCATGTTCGGCACTTGTAGCAATATTATAGCTACCAGCTTTGATAACAAGACAATCCATAGTTGGCATGAAGGTAGTACAAAAACCAGATGTTAAATACCAAAATTCGTTAAGAATAGCGCCGGCACACGAAGTAAAGTGGATAGCTATTTCGTTTTGTTTCCACATTATTCCAACTATGTAAGGAAATTCACCAGGTTTGACAAGTCTTGGAGTATCCCATGACAACACCATGCCAGCTATAATATAAAAATTAAATATAAAAGTAATCTTAACTGTTAATTAGAACTTAAATTTTTGTAACTTAAAAACTAAGATAAAATTACTGCCTTAATTATTATAATATAATAACTGTCACTACAATTTTAAAACTGTCGTGTACAATAAACACCTTATCACTTTAAAAAAAAAAAGAAATAAAAAATTATGTCAGTTGTATAAATATTTCATCGTCTTAATTTATGTCACATATGAATATATGTGACTCTATATACGTAATAAATTCATACCTTTCATTATGAGAAGTAAGTTTATGAAGTCAACAAATAGCTTCATATTGAATAAATAATTTGCTACGAATTCGACAACTTACTTATAAACACTGCTTAACCAAACCCATATATATAATAATTCGAATGCTATTAAAATGTTTAGCAGTGTCAATGGTATCTTATCATAATAGTTTTTTGAAATTGACTATTAATAGTTATTCAAGTATAAATGCATAAAGTATATTTTACTATTGTGTTAAATAATTTATTATTAAATAATAGCATCGAATAATTCAAGGAGTATGCAACGTATTTAAATATAAAATATATAAATGCGAGGCATACAAAAGCTATTTAATTTTTATTTATTTTAAATATGATTTATTAAATTTACGGATTACTAATTGTCATATTATATATGAGGCTTATATGGGAATGTCAAAATCATCTTTGATAATTATTGAAAAGATAATAGATTTATTATTACTGGTTATTTATTAAATAAAAAATAAACACATGACAATATTAACATTTACTATACAAAACAAAAGAATAATTATAAAAAGGAATAATTGTATATTTATCGATATAAATTAGGAATAAGTATAAGTATAATACATTAATTAACTATTAAATTAAACTACTACTACAGACGCTATTTCAAATATGACGGATTTTTATATATTGAAAACAAATTAAAAAATATAACTTAATATTTATAGTTATAATTAATGAACTCTCCTTAGGAAATCAATAATGAGATAACATAAATTTCGGAAAAAGAAATAAAATTATTTACTTTCAAGATTGTCGAACGAAAAAATGTTTATATTCAAAACATTTTATAATTATGAATAAATTTTTAACTTCTTGAAAGAATATTATAAAAGTATAAAATGTTCGAATACAAATATTTCAGCATGTACACAATGTATAAAAAATTGATTCATTAACCAATGTAATTTGTACAATACTTCCTATATATTATAATAATTGTGAAAATCATAATTTTTAAACAATTTACATAATGTAAATTTACATTGAAACATTTATTTAAACAGATACATAAGAATTGATATGTCGTAAAATTCGAAGTGATTTTGTAGGATTAATTTAATTCAAATATCTTGATGGTAACAATTTTTCGACAGCAAAGAAGTTGCCAGAAATTATCTATTGTTTGCACAACAAAGCTACAGTAGCTTTGCATAAGCTATCGTTGGGTTCATAGGACCTTCAAAGGTTCACAATCCTAGAAGGCTTCGTAATCTGTATTAATTTAACCTAGCAATAGATAAATTGTTTTTGAACAGTTTTTGTTTATGCACACTAGCAATCATATGATAATTGTTATCAACTGATTCGAGTCAATTCTTAACATTGCGCGCATTTGTGTATTAACATTTGATAAAGCTAGTCGCACGAATGAACGTTTTAATGAAACACGTAATTTTGACTAAACATTATACAGCAACTAATTTTTGAAATTCTAATTGATGAAAATGTAAGAAGCAAATAAGTACACCACGTACCGCTTAAAATCAGTTACGAAAGAAAAAAAAAGCACAAATCACTTATTTTATCGTATAAAATTAAGCAGCTAAAATTAGTTTGTCAGTTAAGCTATTTAGAAGCTACAGAAAGAGGATATCGACTGACATGTGATACATCATCCATACAAATAAATGTATTTACGATTAATTTAACCAGACGGTCGACTACAATTCTCTTTCAGCTTCTGCTCGACCCAACCTAGAAAATATTCAACTTTTGTGTAAACAGGAGGCAAGCCATTTTTGTTGCAGGGCTCCGAGTTCCAATTGGATATACCCACTAGCACCGGTATTACATCAACTTTTTCGTGGTAAATAAGTGGACCTCCAATGTCACCCTGTCATACGCAAGGAAGGAAATTACGTTAATTTTCATAGTTCTCATTAAATCGAAGGCTCGATTGTCTGAGATTTAATTTAAATATCGTCCGCCATTAGAATATTATGTTATGTCCTATTTAAGAATTTAAATATCATATACAGCTTAATTTATAACGTATATAGCAGTTACCTTATGTTTAATCGATTTGCTGTTAATCGTGAGATTCAATGTATAAATATTCTGACATGTATAGTAGATTTCATTATGTAATTGCGAACATGGGAGTATAAATTTGTCGATTATCATTCTCGATGAAGCAACTGTTTTTACAATATCGAAGCATATAAAAAGGTGAATCCTAATCGCAATCAATGCAATAAAATATAACTTTACACCAATTATATAATATTTATCAACAATAATAATTCATTTTATAACACATTTTAGGCAGATGGGCAATCTCATTGTTATCCTTAGAAAATGAATATACTTACAATACACGCTCCGAGGCTCCCGTCCAAAGGTGTCGTGCATATCTGCATTTCAGATATTCTGAATTGAGGCCAGATCTTCTTGATAGCATTCTCGCACTCGTTGTTGGAAATAATAGTTGCATTGACGGTGCGCATTATGTCCGGATGATCAGATAGAGCACCGTAGGATATCGAGCCCCAGCCACTCAAGATCACATTGTCACCCAATTTGATCTCATATGACCAGGTTTTGGATTTCGCCATTAGGATGGGCTGCACTCGTTTATCAAAGTCCAGCTGTTTTCCTAATTGGATCAGACCGATGTCGTAGCAAGCGAGGGTTTTCAGTGTTTTTGCCCTAATTGACATTTTTCTTTTACTTTTTGTCAAAAATCTTCAACGCCAGAATTTTAACATAACTAATCTGCATTCTCCACACGATGACATAATTAGTATTCTAACCGATAAGTGCTTCGGATATACCTATTCTGAACTGGTAATATTCGTTTTCAATACTCTTTTCAAAAGTGATAAATTTATATCATAATAATAATTAATTATAAAATACGAAATAAGATAAAGTTTAAGTATATGCAAGATTTTATTTATAAAGCAACCAATGTCATATATTACACTGTATTGGAAACGAGTACAATTCTTGTTTATAATTAATTTTTAATGTATTATGATAAAACTAACTAGACTAGCATCAATAATTAAAGAACTTACGTACTCTGTACGAATTAAACGTAAATTTACCAAAAAATTGAAATTGGTATAACGTTTTTTACTCTACGTATCTTCATTGAGATAATAAATTGAGTTTTAAAAATTTAAACGATTCTTTCCAACAATTATGCCGACGACTAAGTTTGTGCAATAACATATAGGAATGTCTCACCCTTCGTATTTTTCATGAACAATCATTTGCTTGATTGGCACGTTATGTACAAATTGATCGTCTTTGTTAATATTATAACTGCCAGTCCTTACATACACAGTACCATTAGAAGGTGCATTGGTGATGCAATAAGCCGAAAGCAAAATCCAAAATTCAGTAATAATAGCACCACTGCAGAAATGAAGATTAATAATAGCTGGTGGGTTCTTCCATGTCATTGAGATTTGCCATGGAAACTGACCTGGAGTTGCATCCATAGGTTGATCCGTTGATAACGCCATGTTCACTAATACAAGTTTTAATGCATCATTATAATAGAATTAATCGTTGTAGATAAAATATTTTTAATTTTAATAGTGTTCAATTATTTATGCTCCAATGTTTGATTTTGATTAAGCAATTTTATTTCGAACTTGTTACCATAACATTTATGCAAAATATATTCAGTATTATTGTTTTGTTAAAGGTTATTTGTTGATAAGGATATATAGAGATAGAAAATAAGGATTCTATTATAAGATGTATGTTTATCTTTTAATTTTTATTAATTTAAAATAGGAAACGTATTGCGTAAAAGTTACCCTGCACTATCAAAAATAGAACTAATGCGTGGACGTTCATAGTCAAGAATATTTTGAGAGTACCTATGGTATTGCTTTATAGTACTTCTAAATACATATATACAATAAGGAAATATTCTTATTCTAAAAATATATAAAACTGTATAAATTTGTCCTTATCAGAATAATATTAAACTTATCTTACTATGTATAGACAGATGGCACTTTTATATCTTGAGATTGCCCATGCATTTCTGTACTGTAAAATTAGATAAAATTTTTTTATTCTTTTTATTTTTTTTTATAATGCTTTATTTATTATCAAATACTTAGATTACGTATTATTTTTTCGAATATCATTAATTAAACAAATAAAAAATATAATATAAAAATAATAATTGAATAATCAAGTAATTGATTGAATTACTAAGTAATTCTTACTAAAATGTACACATTTCAAATTCTACGCAGTTAGAATTTTTATAATAAGAGATGTATAATATGAGATTTCGATAAATGAAATATATTTTTAAGTAATTCTTACTCAATATAAAGGTTCGGAAAGACTGTTTTATTTCTTATCGGACATTACCAAATATATTTTATATCAAAAGAAAAAATGTATGAAAATCTAATACTACTAATAGAAATAGAATTTTTATATCGTATGAAATTCGCTTTTTTCTTGAGTACAAATTAATCAATTTTACATATTTATGAAGAAGTAATATTATGCACCTGCTATACATTGAAAAACAACACTTATTATGAATCTTAATAAATATTTTATATAACATCAATTAATTCACGTAATGGTTAATTATTTGTTTTATAAAATAATTCGTATTTCATCAATAAGATATTAGCATTGCGTTTTATTATTTGAAATTTTGTATAAAAATTAAATTTTGGGCAACAATTTGAATGAATGACTATATAAAAGGAAATCATTATAATTAATCAGTAACAGTTAATCCTGTAAAAATTGTTAATCTACTGAGATTACATTAAGTTGAATTTGCTTAACTATTTAAATATATGTTTTGGTTTAACTCTTCTAATATAAACCATCTTGTATCGAAAAATTCATATCAATTTAAATGAATTCGAATATATTATGAATCGTGAATTATAAAAAAAATATTTTAATTAAAAATTTTATGTCTATTTTCGAATTTATATTATAGTAGAAATTTAGAATTTCTATAATTAAAATTATAATATTATTATTATAAAATCGATGCAATATTAACACTATTACAGTAAATACTTTTTTAATAAAATTATTTTACCCTTAATAATATAAAATATCTATTATTTAAATATTTTAATGTTTCTATATGATATTACGAAATGAAACGAAATAATACAAACGCTATATATTGTGTATAAAATTAATATTGTAATTTTTCCTTATACTTTATTTCCATATTAATCGTATGTTAAAATTTACTAGTTACGTTGAATATATTGAAATATTATTGTATTATTTAATATTTTAAAATGTTTTGGCATGTATATCATGGAATGGTTAAACATAATTCAAAACGATGTTTACCGGAAATGAATACCTAATTGACAATATCAACAACATATGTATTCAAAGTATTTTTCCAATGTGGCCATTAATTAATATACGTACTGGTGCTTCAATATTTATAAAATGTAATCTAGAAAAAGTTTGGCCCATACTAAACTTATTAACATTTTTATATTATTTTTTTCTGTATTAGTATTTACTATAATAAATTAAGTAAATATTTATAATAGTATAACGCATTTATAGAGCCTAAAACAAAGCTTAAAAAATATAATTTTTATTTAATATAAAGATTATCATTTATATACATATTATAATTGTCATACAAAGTGTAAGAGTAATAATTCTCATACAAATATATTCATTTTGGTATAAAATAATTATCTTCAATCATTATCCATTTTATTTAATGTAATCACAAGGTAAATGAATTTTTTCTAAAATATATCTATCATCAAAGGCGTTGTTACTATTAAGAAAAACTAGTTAAATATTTATAATACTGATATAATTTGACATTGATGTTAATAAAATGTATATAAATGCCTTTTATATTTATGCATATATAACAAACTATTAATCGAATTCATTTAAAAGCAAAAATAATAAGTAAACTAATAATTAAATTTTCTAAACAACTGCTGCTAATAGTTATAAAAAACGTTAATTTATTAACAATTCATTCGTTAATATATTAACGTTCATTCACCAAGAATTACAGTATTGTTTTATGATAATTCTGTTTTCTGCGTATCTTATTACATTAAGTTAATATATTTTCAACTGATAGAACTAATAACTAACGAAATAATATGATATGAAAACTAAATTAATTAATTTTGATAATGATAAAATTCAATTTATCAAAATCCCAAAAAGAATAAATTCTTTAGAGGTATCTTGTCTTTTATTATATAAATATAACCTAAAGATTAATGAAATAAACAATGGTAGTAAAAAAAATTATAATAAATATTAAAAACATATAAATATTCTATTCGACTTCGCTTCTGTATTTCTGCGTTAACTTCTTCTATTTCTTTTGTTTATTTTAATATAATATCTATTACCATTTAATTAAACTTATTATTAACTAATAATTTTAAGGGTATGCGAAATTGATGTAACAATAAAAAAATAATCAATAAATTCATAAAAGAAGATACATAAATTCTAAAAAGAAAAAAATATCTTCGTACAGTTTTTTTATGAAAAATTTTTACACTAATATTTAGTTTTTCAACAATTAATAAATAAATATATAAAATTCATCTGTACCTTTTTATTTATAAATAATATGTATAATAAAATTGTATCCAACATTAATTATACAATGATTTAAAATTTAATGAAACAATATTACAATATGGATCTAATGATTTATACAATAAATATAAAATCTTTTGTTACACGTTCTCAATAATTATATTAAATTTACTTGAAAATTGTAAAATGCAAAAAATTTTCTCAAAAAAAAAAATAAATTTTACAATTCTATTAGAAAAAAAAACGGAGTACTTTATCTGCAACTTTAATTTACAAAATAATTAATACGGAAACTTCTTAAATTATTCCACTATTAAGTCATAAACATATTCACTCAACTTCTTATCTTACTTTTAAGCAATATTTGAAAACTTACTTATATTAATATAAATATTTACATTAATATAAATTAAAATTTTAATATATTTATTTAGATTCATTATTTTATTAATTGTTAATGAAAAAAATTATAAAATATTAGAAATGAATTCTTAGCCATTCTAGAAAACTTTATAATTTATATTTTAACTATATATATATGAAAAAAATTAATATAAAATGTAATTAAAATATAATATCGATTATTTAATAAATAACTGTTTACTAATAACAATTTAACTATTTCGAAGTTATTTGTTAATATTTGCAAATAAAAATTTTAAATGTGAATCTACACATATAATATACAAATCCTTATATTCTGTATATAAAAATATAAAACGAAGATAAATATATAAATCATGAATCCTAATGATCATGTTAATATTATTACAGAATTGTATTTACATAAAATATATATGATTTGAAGATTAAACTGTTACAAATAGTTACACAGTAATTAGAGAAAATTTATCTCAGCCTTAATGTTCATAATTATATGATAAATTTTCATTGCTAATTTTAATTATTTTGTAAAGAAATTAAAAATATTTTCTTTCTTTGTAAATATATATGGCTCTCTCTGATAATATTAAAAAATACTCTGAAAAGTACTTTGAATTAGCCAAATTATTAAATTATAAAATCTTATTATATATACAATTTTATTTCAGTTTTATAATCCGTTATCAAGATATTATATAATACCTACAGTATATACAATACCTAAGATAGCACAAAGTTCTATAATATAAGTTTATAAAATATATTTAGTGTCTAAGATGGTATTAAATAACGCTATACATTTCAATATTTGTTTCTAGCATGGCATTGTATTTCAAAATAGAAGTTTTAAATTATAATAAACACACAGAATGTATGGTTGAAACTTATAATATATACAAATTCAAATATCATTAAGTAAAAATTTTTTTATTTATTTATTATATTTCCAAATTAAATAAATATATGAAATTTTTAATGATATTTTATGAATTGTCTTATCCATTTTAAAACATGCATTTATTATTTATCTTGAAGTAAAAAAAATATGAATTAAAGAGTAATACGGTGGACAATATATTTAGTCTTGTTGCTGAAAAGTAAAATTATTGAATCTAATTTCATAAAAGATTCACAAAGTAATTGTGCCAAAATATAAGTCTGTTATAATATGAAGACACTTAATAATTTAAAGTATGTAAGCAGACGAGTTCACCTGCTTTATTATTTATTACTGGTGTATCAAAATATAAATCTGTTATAATGTGACGACACTTAATAATTTAAAGTATGTAAGCAGATAAATTCACCTACTTTATTATGTATTACTGATAATACTTGCACCATCATATACAAAATTTCACATCTGCAAAGGTATACTTTTTATTCTTGGTTTATAAACATTTTATTTCATAATATTTATATATTAGTAACAAAATTATCTAAATCCAACATGTATAATCTAGTAGGCTTGAAAATCAGAGAAGAAATTTCTACTTCATTATTAATAAATCATATTAGCAATATAGAATAGGCTGTTGTAAATGGCTATATCGCAGCCTTTAAAGCATTAGTTGTTAATATTATAAACATAATAAATATTATTATGAGATGAAATAATTTTTAATTCTTGAATAAATTGTAATTAAAACTGATACTGATTCTATTAATATTTCTTTTCTGTACTTGAAAGGTATCATCATTTTTCTATACTAAATATTATATAATATTATACAAATATAATTCAACTCTTAAGTAGATACAATAAAGTTTATTTTAGTTTCAAAAATAATAATTCGTCCATTTATATTATTGAAATAAGTAAATTTGTGTATAAGTGAAATTTCAACTTCAATATTCTTTAACGTCGGAATCAGTTTTGATTAATATTCTTATTGATCCATTTGACGAAAGAAGGAATTCGTGCATAGATGGGTGGAACACCGTTGGTGTTACAAGCTATCATTGTCCAAGTACGAATTCCTATTATTTCAGGTTTATTATTACTGTCATATTGAATAAGTGGACCTCCGAAGTCACCCTAAATGAAGGACGAAACAACGATTATTAATTATGAAAAATAATATTGACTGTGAATGAAAATCCTTTTTTTTTGACGATTTATATTTCATTATAAGAAACATTCGCCTTTAATTTATATTCTGGTTTAGTATTATATATATGTATAACATTAATTATATAATTATTTCTCAATTATATTGATTTGAAAACAACTCATTGCGACTTTAAAAATTTCATTGACTTTTGTCTTATAAAATTTATTTAACACTTCTGAAATAAATGTTTTAGAAAAATTTTGAATTTGTTAAAAAATGACGTATCAAAGTTTTTCCAATTATTAATCAGCCAGTAAAATGATATCATCATCTTGTAGAATTTAAAAAAGAAATTTTTAGTCATTTAAAAAGATTCAATTAACAAAATTTGAATAATAATATTAAATACTTGAGCTTGTTTTAAAATGTTTATTTTTTATTTGTTTTATGTTATTGGTTTAAAAATTTTAATGTCACAATTTCACATCAGCAGTAATTTGGAAATTTTATATTATTCTATAATGCATTATATCGATAAATGCGTTGAATTTATAGTTGCTCTGAAAATTCAAATAACATATACGTGAATGTGTTAACATGACATACAAATTACATCTGATCCCCAACCCCGTACTATCTTATCTATTCAATAAGCGAAACGAGTGGTAAAAACAAGAATCTCACCATACAAGCAAGATCACTTCCATCCAGTGGTCTGGTGCAAATTTGTAAGTCGTTGAGCTCAACCCAGTTGAAAGCTTGACGAATAGACTCCTGGCATGTTCTAATGGGGACTTTCGGCTCATTTACAGTGCATAGTATATCAGAGGTTTCCGGTAAAATACCTCGACCAACGTGGCCCCAACCAGTCATTACAAGATTGTAGTTAAGTTTTGTTCTACCAGACATGATACCATCGGCTTTGGGAAGCTTGATTGGACTCACACGATGATTGAAAACCAGTGCGTGCTTGAGCTTCAGCAAACCCACGTCGTAAAATGCATAATTCCGTAATACGGCATATCTTTTCAATAATAAATTTAATTATAATAGTGATTACAGATACAGACGTTTAATTATTTATATACAGCTTGTAGATTATTATAGAGGTAGATAAGTTACATTTAAGTCTACTTTCCGGTAAAATAGTTATTTTACAATTATCGACTCCGATATAAAATATTAATAATTATTTTATATATGGTTAAAATTTTAATAAAAAGAAATTGTCTCACCTAGTATATTTTTCATGAACGATAATCTTTGCCACCTCAACGTTTCGTACGTGCTCGTCATCTAAAGAAATATTGTGACTACCAACCTTGATACGTACGTTATTTAAATGTAATATATCAACAACGCAGTACGCTGAACTTAAAATCCAGAATTCGTTCAAGATTGCACCACCACATAAGTGAAATGGAGGAAATGGTAATGCTCCGATCCATACCAATACTGCTTGATGTGGAAACTGACCAGGACTGGCGTGCCTGAGATGATCCCACGAATTTACATAACTGACTGTATATTAAATTTAATGCTTTAGAATAAATATATTTCAACAATAATATACAATTAAATAATTTGCTTATCGTATTTGCGTTTAATCCAAAGTATTAAATAAAAATTATATGTAGATAAAACAAACCCATGCATTATAACAATACGTATTATAATAAATTAGGGACTTGAAAATACGGAGAACTGAAATACGCAAAATGGGTACACGAATTTACTTAAATAATATTATTAATAAGTGAAAAAAAATTTCATAACCATCTTAAAATATGTATCCACATATTTGAAAAGTTAACATATTCTTTGCATACATATTTATATAGTGTTAAAAATGTAAAATGTCCCTTTATAACTTATATTAAGTCCTAATGCATAATATTTTAATGACGTAAATTACACGAATTTATATATATATATATATATATATATATCAACATAGCAATTCATTAGTTCTTTCTTAAATTCAGGGTTCAAATTTGAGGTTAGAACCATTATTATAACTAATATATATATATATATATATATATATATATATATATTCATCATCTATATATATACATATATACTTCTGTTACATATATATATAATTTCTATAATAATAGTAATAATTTATTATTTCACTCACCTTGCACCAGTAGAAGTGCAATTAATGTTTTGAAAATAATTTTCATAGTATCTGAAGAGCAAAAATTTAAATTGAAAAAGTGTACGTCAATTATAGATAATGAATTTTATATGGCGAAATAGCTTCTTAGAATATGTTATATAACAGATAAGTAAAATAAATGGAGAATAATCATAATTTAATCTTTAAAACAAATAATTCGTAAAAAATTTGAAACGTAGTAAAAGTAACTTGAAACCGTAGAATCTTACTAATTTGAAATTATTTATCAAATTTCTTAAATAATTATCACCCTCATAAAATATAATTTATTCACTTTTATTAAAAACTCAAAATATTGTGCAATGAATTATGAAACACTTTTAATTATCATAGATAATTTTAACTTATGAAAAGGTAGTTATCATGCTTGAATTCAGAAATTTATTTATTTTCATTATTGAATATTTGACTTATAATTACTAATAGTTACTTATTTAAACTACAAATTTATACATAAAAAATCAGTACAACTATATATGATTTAATTAATACAAATAATTTGGAAGAAATAAATTGATTTATTTTATCATTTGTTTATGTCATGTTTATATAAAATATTAAATATGTATTCTGTATAATTAGTTTATCGCCATATATAAAATTAATCTTAACATTCATTCAAGAATATTTATAAACTCCAGAAGTGTAAACAATAAAATAACCTCGCGTATACAGTTAATTTATTTATTTTAGTTAATTAACCGTATAGAATTTTTTTTCATTGCATATGTAGATAATTTTCAAACATTCAATATTCGAAATTCAATTGAATATAATAGCGATATAATCCTATAATGTGTCGAAAGGTACAAATATTTCCTTTTTGATAATTAAAATATTTAATTTTTATTAGGTGATGAAATTTATTTTATTTAATAATATGAGATGCCGGAAATAAATAAGTAGGTTAAACAAAAACTTTCAGTGTCGATATAATTCGATTTGTGCAATGTACTTTACGTTCTATCTTTCAAAAGTGAACCATTCAAATCCCTTGTATTCTATCAGTAATTTTCCCAATAAAAGAATAAATTTAGTCATTAATGTTATTCATAATTCATAAATTTTCATAATAACTAAAGTAGTTCAAATAAAAATGAACGTATCATATAAACTAAAGGAAATCTTAATTTTAATTTACATAATATATGGTATTTTAGTATTTCATAGAAATTCTAGATTTATATAAAAGCATTAATTGAAAACAATTTATGAAGTTAAAAATGCAAAAATTAAAAATTAATGATTCGTAAAATATCAGGCGGAAAACATTTATTGTTCAGTAACAGAAGATTAGAATAATGTTCACGAAAATACTTTAATACATTTGCATTCTTTTAATTTTTGCTATTCTCTTTCACAATGAAATATTGTAGAATAAATAAAAGAAAATAAAAAAGCATGAAAAATACATTTTTAATATTGAATGAAAATCAATTTTTATTGGACATTTTAATTAAAGTACAAGTTATTTATAGTGATTTAAAAATAAATAATTAAAGCCTAAATAAATAACGATGTAAATGTAAATATAAAGATAATCATATTTTATAAAGCATAATATATATATATATATATATATATATATATATATATAAATATATTAGCATTCGCAAGTGAGTAAAAACAAAATCAATTATATCCAAATTGTTTGAATAATTTATACATTTTTTAAATTATTTATTATTAGATGAACTATTCATTTTATTCCATTTTTATCTAGTTTTAATTATTAATTGAATTATAAATTGAAGAATAATATATAGTGCATCTTTATGTAAAATATAAGATTATAAAAGGAGTTGCGGCTATTACAATTTTAATACGCATATATATTTTTTTGTGTAATATATACAATTATGTTTTTATTTTATTTTTGATCCATTGCTTAAAACTGGTAATACGTGTATAAACAGGTGGTAAACCATTAGTGTCGCAAGGTATTACAGCCCAATTATATATGCCGACTAATATGGGTTCATTTGACTGATTGTACTGGATTACTGGGCCACCGTAATCGCCCTGTAAAGAAGAAACTACACATTTGCATATATCGGTGGAAGTAGAAAATTTTCAGTTAAATAATTAATTTTAAGGAAAACTTTTAAGAAACATATTGAATTAGTTAATGACAAAAGAAAATTTTTCATTTACATAGTCAATGTAAATACAGTTATATTTTCGTATATTAACTTCCTTGTATTAACTCCCTATATCTTTGTTACAAATTTTATAGATAAGTTTTTATAACCCTTTCATTAATGAAAATATTTCTTTTTATCTGATACCAAATAATTACACTCGCTTTAATTTATAAATATTATGAAACTGAATTATCGAATCAAAATATTTTTATTATGCTATGGAAATTCGAAGCTGTTTTAAAATCACCTTGTCATAATTCCCCCGAATCAAATATCATTAACTAATACTTAAATCACTCAAATCATTAAACATAACATCTATTCAATCAGAGAACTTTAATTACTAAATTGTCTTGAAGTTTAAAAAAAAAGCAGTTCCTTAACGTATATTCAGCTTACAATACAGGCGGCGAAAGATCCATCTATGGGTCTCGTACAAAGCTGAGTATCTGACAACTCGTAATTTGGAATGACGGTCCTGATTGATTGTTGACAGATTTTGTTCGGTATGACGGGTAATTGAACAGTATACAGAACTTTCGGATGATTTTCGGTAACCCCGACAGCTATTGACCCCCAGCCGCTTAACACCAGGTTATATTCTAGCTTGAATTTGCTTTTACCGTATTTCTTGCCACTTGGAAGTTTAAGCGCATTCACGCGATTATTAAAAACGATGGCCGTCGCCAGCTTAATCAATCCAAGGTCGTAAGATAAATAACTACCGATCATGTTGCCTCTGAAAAATTTTTAATTATACACATTTTATTCAATTTTGAAAAAAAATAAATACAATGAAAAAATTAATTCCAAAAATTATTGTAGTATACAGTTCCAAAGTAATATACCATCTCAGTAAGATACTAAGGACTATAAATATAAAGTTCAAATTTCATATTAGCATATATAGTTTCAAATCTATATCCTTATTTAAATTTTTTTATTGGCATGGAATCAATTAAACAATAGGTAAATTAAAAATTATTTACAAATTTTTTTAACCTATAAATAGTTGTATAATTATAAATTTTATATTTATATTTAAAATTTTTTAATATATTTCCGTGATTATATATTAAATATTACATATATAAATTAAATTATGTACATTAAACATTTTATATTCTTTATTATTTTAATTTTCGCATTTTTTTACTACAATAAATTAAATACGAATTCAAATTTGTTTGTATAAATTAACATAGAAAGGTTAATTATAATATAAACATATTTTACTTTGGAATGTTTTAAAATTAAACATTTATATTAATATTACAAAACATAAATTAATCATATTTTCATTTTGAACTGTTAACTAACTATTCTCATATAATTTTTTTTAAACATTATAATTGTACTAAACCAGCATTAATAGTCACAAAAAAAAATACTTTTGAAACTTAAATACGTAATGAATGTCAATCAACTATATATAATATATATATATATATATATATATGTATAAGGGAGAGTATTTAATAGACACATTATTTAATTCCTTCTACGTACATTAAAATGAAATTTTACTTTAATTATTCACAGATGACTGAAAAATATAGAAAATATTCGAAAATATATATGGAATAATTAAAATTATTCAACTAAAATATTACAACTTAATATAAATGAAATCTACTTAATTTTGAATTTAATGCATACAAATTTATGTCATGAATAGAAGTTTCATATCATCTAACCAATGTATCATTTGCAAAACAAAAAAAAAATATAAAAATGACAAATATTCTTACCCCTCATACTTTTCATGAATTATAAATTGTGCAATTTCCAAAACTTGTACAAACTCATCTTCCTCGTTGATATTATGAAATCCAACTTTTATAGCTCTGATAGTCATTGTCGATATATGAGATACACAATATCCGGAGCTTATAATCCAGAATTTGTTAATGATTGCACCGCTGCAAGAATGGCCAAGAGGAATACCCTGTGAGCCCCACTGGAGACTTACTTGATACGGAAACTCACCTGGATTGGCAGGCCTGGGAGTGTCCCACGCCAACAAAAATTTGACTGCAATTCGTTTAGTGACGAAACAATTCCAGTTGATAGTCCGATTATCAAATACCATAATTATTAGGATGTTAAGAACATTCAAATACAACTTGTTTTTTATTTTAATAATTGAGATGAAATATTTAGAGATTACGTTCTTAAATAATTATAAATATTACTTTTAAATTTCAAACAACACTTATTTTTACATAATACAAGTTTTTCATGTAATAAATGTATTTCTAAAATTTTAAGTTAATATTACAATAATTATCTAGACATAACTATATATAAATAATTATCCATTCAATAACCATTTCTATTGATGCAATACAGATTCTACAAGGTTATATCTTCAAATCAATTTATCATTAAATTCTAATATGAAAAGTATTTGGTGATTGTATGAAACCACGATAGATTTCATTATTTATTCATTAATAATTTGAAAAATTTAATACAAGCAAGTATAAAAATTATATACGTAGTTTTATAAATATTTGAAGGTAGTCTTTATCATTATTAAACTATTAATGTCACTCACCTTTTACCAATAACAATACAACTAATGCGTCAATGATAATCTTCATAACAACTACACAATTTAACATAGAATTAAGTAAGTTTTAAAGTAATTTAGTAATATTTACAAATAAGCGAAATAAAAAACACAAAATAAAATAGTTTTCAATATATGTTAACACCTAGTATATGAGTTGAATGTAATGTATATTTTAGGCAAATCATAAGATTATAGAATTTTTAATGATTAATTGCAACAACATATGAAAGAATATTTTACATTAATTTTCATGTGAAATAAATTTTTGTTTTATATTTTAATTGTATTATTGTCGTCTCATTATAATGCCGTCACATTAGTTAAAAAGTACTATTTTAGTTACACAGTTAGTGTAAAATTAATGCTTTTAAATGTTATTTATTAATTTATTTATTTATTACAGTCTTTCATTCTTCAAAAACAAACATACTTCTAGTATGAGTATGTATGTTTTAATTTCTTCTATATATATATATATATATATATATATATATGCATATATATGCATATATATTTATTTATTACTATTTATAAAAATAAATTGCAACATGCATACTCATAATTTTTTATTTAATTATACTTGTTTAACTTACTTGATGTATTTACGATTCGCTACTTTAATTAATTTTTTTCTCAATTTCCTTCTATTTTTTTTTCAACGCTTCAGCTAACTATTTTGCGTTTTAACAAATAATCAAAATTTATTTGATTTATTATATGAACTTTAAAATGATAATAAAAACTCTCTTCGTGCATGGATAATTTGAACAAATATGTGCACTTTTATAATGAATAATAAATTATGGATTATTTAATTTTTTTACTTTAAACATTGGAACAAATTTTAGTACATTAACATAAAAAATTTGATAATAATAATTTATTCTTACAAAATTGGAATAATGTTAGGACATATAAATAGATATTTGTTTTGACTAAAACTTTTACAGATAATAATTTAATATATATATATATATTTATATATACATCAAAAACACGAATACATACATAGTATGTACTACTTGTAGTATATGTAACACTAGGACAATACATATTTATTTCATTTCATTTGATTTAATATAATTCAATTTCTCTATAATAAATGTGTAAAATTAGAGAATTTAAATTATTAATTGAATAGAAATTGAATTAATACTGTAATTGATGTAAAACAATTACATGTAGAAAATCGATTGGTATTGTAATAGAATGAGCTCAAATGAACTTGTTCTTATCATTGCAGATCAATATTTATATAAACATTTTTTTTTAATTGTAAGATTTTAAATTGTATGATCATCATATAACTATATGATATGCTTGAAATCTATAAAAAATGTATTATTTGAAATATTTTATATATGATTAAATCGGAATTTTAATTTTAATTCTTTAATATGCACAAATAATTTTATTAAATATTTCCATTTTTTATAAATATTGACAGTATTTATTATACTATTATATTAAAAGTATTCAAAGTATTTATGTTAAAGTATTTTTATTAAAGATATTTAAATTATTATTGCGGGCTATGAAAAGTAGTAAAAATGACAAATAATATTCAATAAAAATATAATGTGGATCGAACATTGAAACAAGTTTTCAAACGTTGTTATCTTAATAGAAGATAAATTCTCTGCGACTACAACTGTCTTACCTCCCTTGAAATACCAATTTTGTAAGCTATTTGGTTTCGAACAAATGCAGTTGTCATATTAAAAAGGATGAACTAGATTTTCTCGGTGTTCAAAATTATTAACGCTGTTTCGCAATTATCCATCAAAAATCAGTCTTTTAAAAAATTTTAAAACTCAAGAAGTGTGTATGTATATTTATGTTTTATTCGGACTCATTCTGAGTGTGTTAGGATGTGTCAATTAATTTGTTTATTAAAGCAGAAAAATAAATAATATAAATATATTTTAATGAAAACAACTTATTTGGAAAAGCATTTTAATGATTTATATATAATCGTATATGACTACGAACGATGAGAATACTCTGTCCCGTATATTTTTATCTCATCTCGTACATTCGTGGTAAAATCTATAATATAAAATGGTCTCTAGGTGTTTCGCCAATAATGAACATGTCTATCAACAAAGTCATACAATCAATGATAAAAACTAGTAGCTATTTTCAACGTGAAATGGGAACGACCGATGTCAAAACTAATTTCTTTTTCTAATCGTTCTTTTTTAGACAATTAGTCAGTGCAACTTCTTTGTGCTTAGCACCAAAACAAAATTACATAGGTATTGAGACGGCCTTACCCTACATAGCATCATCAATTTCAAATTTATATGAGCGAATAGCAGAGTTTATTGATATGTTTCATTCAAAGTTATGTTTAACGCTATCTAGAATTTGGTATACATTAATTGTTACGGAATTATTGATAATAGTATATTGAAATCTAAATAGATTACTCTTAAGCAAACATTACCAATAATGAATAATTTTTTTTTTAATATTTAAATGCAGCTCATTCGACATAACAACATCTGTATATTGATAATTCAAAATTGTTATTTAATGTTAGTTAATGTTATTTAATCTAAGAGCATAATTTGGCATATATTTTTAAATGAATGTAATGAATAAATTCAATATTTTAGTGCTTTGATTTTTTTATTCGATAAATTAACAGACAGAAAATATAATGGAAGATAATTTAATTTTAATTTTTAATAAATACAAGGCACAATCGATATTATAGATGTGTATAAGCGTTAAATGAATTAAATGAGTATATATACAATTATAATATACGATAAATTATAGATGTGCAAAATTAAATACATAAATATTTAATTATGATTTTGTTGTTAAAATTCAATTCTCTTTCATAGTCTTCTTGATCCACTTAGCAAATGGAAAAATGCGAGTATAGATTGGTGGCAAACCATTGGTATTACAAGGCATCGTACTCCATGCGTATACAGCCACTAAGACAGGCCGATTTGTTTTGTCATATTGAATTAGTGGACCCCCATAATCACCCTAATTTACATATATAAAAAAGATGAATATTGTTAAAAGTATTTATAAGTAGAGTTTAGCAATTTCTTTATTTTTATAATTCAAAAAATATATATATCAATTCAACTATTTTTTATTTATTACTGTTCCTAAAGGAAATATATAAATAAAAATATTACTTCTTACTTCAAACGAGGCGAAATTTTATAATTTAATTATATAAACACAATTATATATTTAACTCACGATACAAGCAGAAATCGAACCATCCATAGGTCTTGTACACATTTGCGAATCATCCAATGTAAAATGTGGATAAATGGTTTTTATAGAAGTCGAACAAACTTTATTGGGTACAACAGGCAGGTGTACAGTCTGCAAAATCTTCGTGTGATTGTAAATTACACCATTGGAAATCCCACCCCAACCACTCAGAATTAAGTTGTAGTTGAACTTGAAACTATTCCAAAACCATGCCCCACTATTCGGTAGCTCAATTGGTTGAACGCGTCTATTAAATTCTAATGGTTCGATTAGCTTTAGTAAGGCAAGATCAAAACTTCCAAGATTTTCAAGCACGTATACTCTGCAAAAACATTTGTATTTAAGCATACTTTTCTTTGAAATTATTTTTTAAATAAAATCAGTGATTTTCATATTACATTTTACGTATATTTACATTTTATGTTCTATGTAAATCATATTAAGTATAGACCATTAGTTTAAATATATTCAAATTAAAAAATGAAAGTTTTTATAACAAGCACTTCAATTATCCGCATTTATTATTACTTCCATTTATATGTAAGTAATTATGAAAAATTGTAAAAAATATAATTACGGAAAGAATATGCTTTTAATGGCAAAAATTACTGTACTCATGAACACCAAAATACTTAAGCATATTGATACAAAAACACATGTATAGAAGAATTTTAAGAAATATGTGATACTATAACACACAATTCGTATAATTTTTTTTAGTAAAAATGGAAAACATGAATAGTTTCTACATCATATTTTATTTTGATAAAAGTATTAAGACAGCAAAAAAATTAGATCTAATGGTATATATGTGATTTGATTAACGACGTGCTGCAGTAGAATTATTGTTGAAAATTATGGCAAAAATTGTGGCTATATAGGATGAAAAGTAGATTTCGTTAAAATTGCATTCATCAGATATTCACACGAATGATGCACAAAATATACGTAAGTAGAAAAAGAATGACGATTAACAATGAAAAAGCAACTCTCTAATTAAAATCGTTTACTTTACCTACATTGAAGTGAAAAAATTGAACTTCATTTGATTCATTATAAATCTCAAATTCCGGTATCATTTAAGAAACAAATTATGTTAAATAATGTCAATAAATTTTGTATTAAATTCAAATTAACTGTCTTTTATATATAAAACTATGCATATTTGATACTAAAAGTATTAATAATATTTAAAATTTTTTTTAAAAACATATGTTATATATAAGTATAAGATTACAATGTGAACATTGAATAAATCATTGATATATTTTATATTTACTTTATATATACTATTCTTTAAATAATCTTTTAAACCAAATTATTAAAATTCAAATCTTTCAAGTATCTATTGATAAATTGAAGTATTTCAGTAAATATATTACACTATATCTATTTTCTATATTTTTTATATTTATATTGGTAGAATAGAAAAGACTTCATTAGATTTTAACAAAATTATTTATTCCGTCTTAAATATAGATATATATTAAAATATTTAAATTATATTTTAATATTACAAATTATGAAAGTTGGATTTTTAACTAATCATAAAATGAAAGACATTGCTTAATTTAGTAAGACTATAAATAACTTCAATTTAAATGAAAATCGAATTTCACTATCTATTAAAGAACCATTGTTGATCTACAATTCATTTCATATTACATATAAGTAATATTTAACATGCAAATATTTTATATTTATCTGAATATATTATATTCAAGGTATATGTTTGATGACGCACAAAAATCATAAATATTCGTTAAAATTATTTATATCGAATATAAAAAATTACTTTTATTATTTTCAATATTAAAATTGTAGAATTAAAATTTATCATGAATTATGGTTAACCTTAGAAATTTCAATTTAATAGCACACTAAAAAAATAGAAACTTTGTAATAAGAAATATTAATGAAATATACTTCAGAAATAATTATATACTAACTATTTTAATGCAAATAAAATAATAAATAAATTAATATTTATTTATGTACATTTAACAATAACTTATAGAAATTATATTTTATACATCACATGTTCAATATTCGATACAAAGTAAAATACAACGTAAAAACGTAAAATACAAATTAAGGGAATATATATGAAGTATAATTCTAATATTCTAATATAATTCTAAATATTATATTTAAATTCAATTAAAATATTAATTCGATCTTTATCACATGCATAAGATAGATGCATCGATTATAAAAATAAATTCAAAATGAAAACAAAATAGTCTTAGCATGCCAACTTAAGTAAAGCAAAATATAGCACAATAAAAGTTTGATTTGAAAATTAGTCTTATCGAGATATTATATTCAACGAGTATCATTTAATAATAAGTTACTACCATTTATTATACACAATATATATATTTTATATGCATATAATATGTATCATATATTATTTATTATAAATGGTAGTAACTTATAAAAATTATAAAAATAAATTCAAAATGAAAACAAAATAGTCTTAGCATGCCAACTTAAGTAAAGCAAAATATAGCACAATAAAAGTTTGATTTGAAAATTAGTCTTATCGAGATATTATATTCAACGAGTATCATTTAATAATAAGTTACTACCATTTATTATACACAATATATATATTTTATATGCATATAATATGTATCATATATTATTTATTATAAATTCAAATCAATATATAACTTAAGAATCATCTCACCCTTGATATTTTGGATGAATTATTTGCGTTTGAATATGACTTGTTTGAACATATTCATCATCCACAATGATATTATGTCTGCCCACTTTAATTAGTAAATTCCCCATATATATGTTTGTAACACAAAATGCAGAAGTCAAAACCCACAAATTACTGAGAATCGAACCACCACAGTAGTGAAAATTATTAACATCCGGTGGTAGGCTCCATACCAATGAAACTTGATGTGGAAACTGTCCAAGACCTGCATCATGAGGGTGATCCCATGCAAAAACCATATTGCCTAGATAGAAAACACATTTAGTATTTTAAATATCATATTTAATGAATATCAAACGATTTTTATTATCATACTATTCAATTGTTTTATTATATTTAACATAAAAATGTTTTATTCTTATTAGATAGGTGACGACAAATCGGCCTTATTAAAAAAAAGTGCTATCTTTCAAATTATTAAAATAAATATAATAATCTACGAACGATCATAAAATCGATCTGATATTTGCTTCATTCACCTTTTATGAAAATAATTGATGGAATTAATATCGCAAAAAGTAACTTCATAGTTTTTAGACAATTCACACGTTTTCTAAATTTCTGAAATACTGTATATATATAAATATATATATATATATATATAAAGAAAGAGAGAGATAGAGAGATTTATATATAATAAATCCATTCTTATCGAACTCCTTATCCTTCAAATATACAATATAAATACAGTTGGTTTGATTGTTTTATATACGACATGTGATTATATAATTATAAGTTATCTATTTTCGATATTATAAAAAAATTTATTATTTTATAATTCAACAGAATTATATATATTAATATATGTATACATTACGATTATTATTACATAAAATTTAAATATGACTTTTACTATTAAAATATTACTATTAAACTTATATATAAATAACTTTTTACTATTAAAATATTAAAATATTACTTCTTGTATTTCTTACTTAAAATATTTAAATAAAATAGATGCGATTTTATTTTATATCTATACTCAACAATTAATAAACGGATATTACAAAAAATTCTTTTGAGATTAAATAATTACAATCATAACTTTATATTGAAATTATTGTTCATGTATTTCAATTTTCTAACCAACTGTGTCATTGTTTCTATTATCCAGTTTATATTATTTAATAAATAAATAATTTCAAAATAATTACTATTTTTACAATGTACTTTCAAATCGTTATTTCTATTAGGAACAATTAATTAGTTTTATATTCATATAATGTATAAATAAATAATTACGACTTGAAGTTTTTTATATGGGAGATTTTTATTTGATATTCATACTTTTGAGTGAAATTTTTTCTTACTTCATCCTAGTTTTTCTACATTTTAATGTATATTTATTAATTAGCAATTTCCTTTCTGTATTGGTATATTACATTTTTTTAATAAAAACCAAAATTAAGCAGGTGGCATGTTTAATATATATCAGCTAGAAAACAATTTTATAAAAAAATCATTCTTTACCATAACCTTGAACCTTAATCTTTGCCTCTTTAGACTGCACATATAAATAATAGTAAATAAACTTATTGCTCAAATAAAATAAAAAGGTTCTATTAAAGCTTTTAGATTACTTAAAATTGATAAATGTACATATTATATTATATTAAAATAAATGAATGTCATAAATATATTAATTCTAGAACTTATCTATTCAAGACTATTTTTTCAATTCTTTAAAATATTTGTAAAATAAAATGTTTTTTAATAAAATTTAAAAAATATTGCCTTTTTGAAAATATGTAATTTAAAATACAGACTAAAATAGAATGTAATAATTAAATTTTGTTTATAATCAGATATTTTTCTTCAACATATATCTAATTTTCTCACATTCAATCTGAAATCTTACAACTCACTGTATCCTTAAGATAAATATGAAAATAAATATGAAAATGAGTATTAATTTTTCAATTATATTGACTTAATTTATTTTCATGTTAATAGTTTATAAATATACTTATAACTAACAAAATAATAACTTATTTATCATTTTTCGTATTGTTTTTTGTTTAATAAAGTCAATAAATTCAATCAATACTTATAACGGTATAAGGTGAATAAAAACTTTCGAAATTCTAACTAATTTGTACGACTAAATTAAGACACCTAGTTAAAGTTCAAAACAAAGTAATCAGATTTAACGGTGTTACTCTAATCGATGACTGAATCCGACTCTAATGTATATATTCTGAACAATGTCTATTTACTCGAACATCCGCTCCAATCATTTTGTACATTTTTTTTATCCTCGCCATTTCCAGATCATTATATTATTTATAATGTATAGTCTAGTATATATAAGTATAGTATGTATAAATTTTGACAAAATCTGCAAAATGTATATATTAAAATATAAAATATAAAATAATATGTATATACTTATATATTTCACAATAATACTTATATTAATATAATTAAATCTATTAATGGAATAAATTATATGCTTTTGTAACGCATATATATATATATATAATATTACGCATGTATATTACATATATAATATATATTTAAAAGTGTTCGTTGTATCAGAAATTCTTTATCAACATATAAATAAGTTTGGTAATGAATGTTGGGTTATAAAATATTTATGGAATATTAACAGAAAATAATTCATAAATAGTCTATTTCTAAATAATATTTCATTTTTTTATTAGTTTCAATATTGATGATAAATTTGTTTCTACTAATATTACATATTACTATAGTATAAATCTATATTTATATTACAAGTATATAAAGATACAATAATTTTGTTAGATTTTAAATATTGAATTTCTATTGAATTTAAAATACATTGATATTTCTTATATATATTTAAAAATTTTCGTTTTTAATATTCAGATTATTGCCTGCTGACAAAATACACCTTCGATTCATCAAAATCAAAATTCAGATAAAAATTCATCCTCGATACTATAATATTATTATATCTTACTATTATTATTATGAAATATTGAATGCACATTATCAGATATGTTTAGTACTGATTTACTTATTTCAAATAATATAATAATTATCACGTAATGATTTGCAGTTAAACCTATTAGTAACTTTGATCTAATATGTGAATTTTGTATAAAATTAAGATGAACACATTCTTTTAATGTAATTGAAATATTAATTTCAATGCAGTAATTTGTATTTAATTATTAAATCAATTGAAAGTTTTTATTGTATAATGTATAAAGTTAAATTCATGATATAAAAATCTATAGACGAAGAATTGATGTTATGCAAATTATATAAATGTCCATGTTTATACAAATGTAATATATATGTATACAATGGATAAATTAAGTAAATAAGTAAATAAATAAGTAAAGATATTTTTTAGTCGAAATACTTTACTAATTTTTTTGGTATTTTGATGATACAATTCTAATTATCACAATTCGTTTACAAATGTTTTGATAATTTGTATTTTATCAAGAGGAAATAGAGTTAGATACAATTTAAATATCAATAAATAAATAAAATTTCATGTCGAGAGAACCTATTTTCGGGCAATTATATATTTCATCTTCGAAAGAGCTTTTAATAAGACGTACATACTCTTACACTCAAAATATTGGCAAGTATTTAAAGAATATTGACATGTGATTGCTAAGCTACTAAAGTAATAAATGATAATAATTTATTACATTCGACAGTAATGTTCTTATTATTCATTTGCCTTTAAAGTTTCTTTAATCCATTTTATATGAGAAGAAACACGTGTATAAACGGGTGGAACATGATTCTGGTTGCAGTTTGCCGTACCCCATGATTGAATGCCTATTAAAATAGGTACATTGTCGGCATTGTACTGAATTAATGGTCCACCATAATCACCCTAAAATGGATATATAATTATAATTATTAAATTTTCCACGAGTATACATTTAAGAATGTTTGTGAAACCTTATTATATTTGAGTAGAAATTGAAATCAAAGCCGATAGAAATTCTTTAGTCTGTCAGAGTCCATTTTTAATCCAATTAAATGAATTTTTACTTATTCATTTTCAAATTTGGTATTTTAAAAAAGTAAAAAAACGGAGTCCGACGAACCGTTACTTAAAAAGTAAAAAAAATTTTTTTAATCCCAATATTCATATATATATATATATATATATAATTAAATTTATTAGTTATCAAAGGAACAGTTTTGTCATTGAAATTTTTGTCAATAAGGTTTTATAAATAGACATTATAACTTACAATGCAAGCGGATATTGCTCCGTTAATCGGTCTAGTACACATCTGCGTTTCATCTAGGTGCATATTGTGATAGAATTGATTAAGAGATGTGACACAAACTTTGTTCGAAATAATAGGTAGTTGCACCGTCATTAGTACTGTTGGATGATTTTCAATGATGAGATAAGCTGTCGAGCCCCAACCACTCATCACCATATTATATTCCAATCTCTGACTCTTAAATAAAGTGTTCTTCTTTGGTAACTTCAATGGTTGTATACGAGAATTGAAGGTTATTACCGGTGCGACTTTTACCAACGCAAGATCATGAGGTACGAAGCTTCTGAACTCTTGTGCCCTAAATTTGATTAAATATAGTATATGTTTTTAAAATTATTATTATGTAAAATATTAATCTTGAGTTTCCAGTAATATATATAAATTATTAAAATTATATAGATCTTATACTCTTAAGAAAATTAATAGGCATATATACATATATTTACATATGTATATATGCAAATACAATATATATACAAATACATTGTAACCAATTAATTATAAATAATTATTACTATAACGGTAAATATATAACAAACTCTTCGCTAAAGTGCCATTTACTCGATAATTTCGTACCACATCGATCTATATATTAGCTACATTTACATTTCGTTGCTTAATAAAATTTTTAACCAAAGCAAAGGTACTGACATAGTACATTCTTTTTATTTATTATTTTACGTGCATAATATTATATCTGCGATGAAGTATAATTGAAACTTACAAAAATTATATACTAATGTTTTTTAGTTAATGTTTTATATTAATAATACTATATTATTCAATAAAAACACCGTAGAATAATAATATTGTAATATTATAATTCTAAATACATATTTAAACAATACAAAAAATTGATAAAATATCATTACATTAATTTTTTGAATAAAAAATATTAGAATAAATTTTATGAAAGAATATAAGAAATTAGTTGTACAAATAAAGTCTATTTTCAGAATAAGAATGTTACATAAAAAAAAATCACAATGCTTCATGTCGGCTTTTGTGTTACAAAATATAAAGAAAATAAAAAAATTGTTAATTTTTAAAAAATAATGCATTATAAATTTAAATAGAACAATTATCTGATATCTAAAGTAAAAGTGTTTAGATATTAATAGATAACAGAATGATATTTGATTGTGTACAAATAAATATTCTTAAAACAATAAATTATATACGAACTAACGTTGTAGCATTAAGTTTATTTAATATATTAAAAGATATCTTATAAAATTTCAACATCTAATCTACAAATATTTGTCAATACGACTAAATATACTTGATTACTGTACTAATAAATAACAAAAATGTCTAAATTCACATTATATAGTCACCTGCATAAACTAAACTATTAACAACAACAACTGATAAGGGAACAGTTTACTAAACTATTCGTCTTACATCTTCTTCGAAAATTATTATCAATAATTAAATATTGATAAAAAAAAGTGAAATAGAAATTAGAAATTACCATACCCAGGATATTTCGGATTAACAACAGTCTTTATAATCTGATGCGTTTGCACAGCCGCATCATCGGCAGCAATATCATGCCTTCCGAGTTTAATGTAAAGTATCCCAACTTGTACGCGAGTGAGACAGTATCCTGAGCTGATGATCCAAAATTCAGTAAGAATAGCACCACCACATAAATGTCTTATGGGGGAAATCGGCAAATTATGCCACTCAAATGACACTTGAAATGGAAACTGTCCAGGTACGGCAGGCCGTGGCGTGTCCCATGAAAAAGCTCGATGAACTAGTCGCACAATCACATTTATTTAGGAATTAATATTATCAATGTTTTATTTTTGTAAAATCTATTATTACTACAGATAAAAATAAGTGACGTTAAAAATAATGAATACACGTTATCATCATATTATACTTAAATATTGATATTTTATCACACTGTACCCATCTAAATAAATAATCCGATTAAAGAGATTGACGATCATTAGTAATTGCATTAATTTCCTAAATTATTTATTTTATTATAAAGATTAAATATTTAGCTAATTTCTGAAAGGATTAAGTTCCATTTAACTTCTATATATGAAAAGACATATTTCATGATTTTATAAATCACATTTAATTACTACCTTATCAAGCTATGAAAAAACATAATATTATAAACATTTCTAATGATGTAAATTAAAAATTATATATAAGCAGCAAAATTTATTGTTTTAACTACATATTTTATACATATTCTTTTTGTTTTAAAACTCATAGATAAAAAAATTAAATTTCCACATAAACTTATGTATATTATATAACCATTTTAATAAATTAAAAAGTACATGAATTTAAATTATATCATTTTTCTATAACACTAAATGATAAAATTAATGTTCGAAATTGAAATAATTTTTAATTTATTAATAACAAAAATTAATATACTCACCAAGCAGTAGCAGAAGTCCAGTTAATATATTAATCAAATACCGCATGGTGAAATAAACGAAATAGTAAATAAACTTCTAAATTTATTAATAATTTTAAGATATAATGAAAAATGGAAACTTTGGATGTTTGCAATGTTATTGGATAACTAAATCTGTAAAGGAGAAAATAAAATCTTTTTTATAAATATTTACTAATAAATTTATATCTAAAAAAGTTAGTTTAAACTTATTTAGAATTTTTTTCAATGTAACTGCATATATTATTAGAAATTTCCTGTTAACAAAGACAGATTTCTTATTATTTTATTAAAAATAATATATATACATGTTCTTTTAGTATTATATGTAAAAATATTATATTAACAAAATTGCAGAAAATATAATAGGTACTTTATATTATGAATATTATTTAATTTAAAATTTTTAATTTAAATCTTAAAAAAAATCATCTTGTAAAATAATTTATCATTATGATAGACAACTTATGAAAATTGATTGAAACAATTCAGATTTTCTTAAAAAAAAATTTTGTATTATTAAATTATATGACTAATTGTTATTTATTTTCGACTTTTATATAATTAGCTGTGAAATTAAAAATAATATAAAACAATTTATTTTAGAAAATTAATACATCTTTAAGAATGTTAATATCAAATTTATAAATTATTCAATATCATAAATGCTTTAATGTATTGGTATCTTTTAATAGTAAATTGAATAGTAAAATTTAAATAGTAAATTGGAATTTTTATAAAGTACACACAAGTGCGTATGTTGTATATATAAATAAAAATAAAAGCAGTAAAATATTAAAATAACATTAAAAATAGAATATATAAGATACTTAATAATATTTAAATCATGATTAAATATAATTGTATGTTCTCAAATCATAAAAATAAAATACACATCCTTTAAATTTTTTAGAACGGACTATATTTGTATTACCCATAAAATAAAAATATATAGTACAAATTAAAACTTGCATTTTTTACTAAAACTTTCAATATTTAATTATCTTGAATTTCGAATATTTTAAATTATTTCGCTTACAATATTTATATACTTATTTTCAAATTAAAATTTATTTTTAGATATTTTACATATATTTCTAATAAAAACACATAAATATATTAAGAATTTGTATACTATTATATAGAATTCACAACTCAATATTTCATTAATAAATATAAAACTTTATAAATGTACATTATTATGAATTACTTACAGAACAAAAGAAGCTTTGTAAAGTGAATAATATAAATATTCAGTGACGTATTGATAATACATGACATGAAGTGTTATAAGCACGTTTAAATAAAAATGTCAAATTAATGAAAAAACATTTTATATCACGAACTTATATTTATAAATAATAATTTAGAAGAATTTAATTTTTTTATCATTTTTTATGATAATGAAAATAACGTTCAGCTTAAATAGAAGAAGATATTATTAAATAAAATAATGAATTTTAACATGAAAATTTCATCCTTACACATTTTCTTGGTTTTCAAAATAATTTCATTTTTTAAGAATAAAATTTAACTAATATATATGCTCAATTATATTCTTCTGAATTAACTGTATAAATATTGATATAATTAATTAATTATATATAATCGTAGAAAATTAGTAAAAACGTAATCATATTTGTTAAATATTAAGAAAATATTATAGATATAAATTACATTTAAACTATGAATAAAACATATACACACATATATCAATATTGAAACTCATAAATTCGCATGGAACCTCGATACGAAACAATTAAATGATGTACAAACAAATTTAAGTATTAAAAATTATTTAAAATAATGCCAAATATATAATACACATTTTATATATTATAATATTATACAGTAATCCTGATCATAGTATGATGTGAACAACAATGTTTAAAAATACCTTTATATAAAGTATGTAGCTGTAGCCTCCTTGATCTTATACTTGAAGCGATATATTTTGAAAATGAAATCCAGTATTATAGATAGTGAATCGTTAAATATATAGGCATAATTTTTGTTATCGTATAGAAACAAATAATGTAGAATTAACTACAATAATTTTTAGAAAATAAGCGAGGCTTTTACTGATGAATACACTAATATTGAAAAACTGTTGAAAAACCGTACAAACGATTTGCAAATCAGAATGTATTGAAACTGATAAAATTAAAAACAAATCAGTTATGCATAAATAAAATCAATTTGATACGACGGAACAGACATAGGGGACAAAAACTTTAGTGCGATAGACGATGTTCTCGAGGACACGTGCAATTGTGTTTTAAACGTAAACGAATATTCTGTAGTCCGCAGAACAGAACTTTTAGAATATAAATGTAGGAAGACTTTTAGCGGAAGCTGATATAGAAAACTTATTTCGATTTATTTCATATACAGCCGTACTAAAAGAGGTGGTAGGTAGGGATTTCGCAGTTGCTCAATAAAAAACGTGATATAAATTATCTATACCGAGCCCTAGTTGATGTTAAGTAAATTTTATTAAAAAAAGAATACTAATAAACAAAATAAGTTATGCATATAAATTATGATTTAAAAATAGAATAAATAAAGTAGAAGTTGAACAAACAATATTTTAAATGTTATCATTTAGATAAATAGCTAATCTTTAGAAAGATACAAATCCAGCATGTGTAATTGTTTTCAATAGTAATCCACACAAAATGATGTATAACATTTAGAAGTAAATATGTTCTTGTTCATATTGTATTGTATTACTAAAAATTGTTCTCAAATATCACAGCTTAATAGGTCAAAGAAAAAATTTGGTATTATAAATTTATAAAAAAAAATGATTTATAATATTTTACTTTTTTATGATATTCTGTGTGTCTCATCAAGTTGTCTAAAAAGATTTAAGTTTTCAATGCATACTTATTATTAAGTTTATTTAGTAAAATTTCAAAATAACTTAAGTATTTTCAGTACTTGAAACTACCATAAAGCCTATTCGAATAATCTCTTTTAATTGTAAAATAAATATTTGTTAACCTTTATTTTCGAATATTAGAAAATTTCTTTTAACTCTTATTTCTTTTCGGTTATCTTGCAATTCATATTTATAAATGTAGCTTAACCTAATGAGTGTAACTAATACATATGGTATATTGAAGAATTTAAAACTAATAAAAAAACTAATAATAAAGTACTCTAATATGATTTTTTCTAATTTAAAGAATAATTGCTAATATAGCATATAATCTCACAATCGTACTTCTCATTTATGATATCTTCTCATTTATTATTCTCATTGATCATTCTAATCAATAAAACCAGTTTACGAAATTTTCCTTCAAATTTTTTTCCAAGATAGTTTATTGTAACGTGGTCTGATCGAACACACCTACAGCATAAATATTTTTCTATGTATCTATCAATTTTTTCGGTTGTTTAAAACAAATCGATTCGTTAATCTTATAGAACATGTATAAACTGCTTTTTTATTTTAAACATTTATTTTTAATCGATAAAAATAAAATTATTTGCTTGTTAACTCTGTTATTGTAAAAATACGACTAATTACTTATAACATTAAACTGGTATTTTAATAATTCCTAATGCTTCAGTCGCTATCACAACGAGTGTTGTAATAACAAATATCACATATTAATAACCTATATTATTTGAAGTTGCTGTCATTTAATATTTTGAACTCAAATATATATTGTGAAGCAACAAGCAAAAGAACAAAAAAGAGACGCTAAAAATTATGAAAGAAAGAATAATTATTGATCTAACGGTTTTCAATAGGAAACACAAGACGTGATGCGCGATGGACGATTATGAAAAAATTCACACAAAGAATGTGTCACTAAAAGACCTGAAAGAACACATCTACCTGGTTGACAAGAACAATTCTAAAAATTCAAATATGCATATAAGTAAAATGAGATATCTGCTCAGATTTAAGTTCCATTGTACAAATAACGATTGAATAATAAAAAGTCTTATATCGAAAAAATGATGTAAAGAAACGAGAACTTGTGCCAGTCTTTGTATTTTCTTTTATTTTTATTAATATATCACATTTTACTTTATATATTTATATATTGGAAATTATAATATATAATATTTTTATATTCTTAATATATTTCTCAATGAATTTATGTCCTTTTACATTTAAGCGATTTATTTCTAGAACTCCACCATATTGAAGTCAAATTTAACATCGAGAAGGTACAAAATTTGCAATGAAATTATTGTATGCAGAAAGAAAATGAAAAATTATGAACTTCAAAATAAAGCTGAAAGAAATATCAGCAGTACGTACTTCTGTTTCGTTCTTATAAATAATGATTATATAAGGTTAAAAGATTAATATACAATTCAAATAGAAATAAATAATACCTTACTAATACATTTTACAATACTTTTTTACTCTTCATTAAATGAAATATCTTATTATGTATAAAACCGTATTTTTTTAATATTTTTAAAAATAATTAAACATTTAATGAAATAATTATAATCAGTTTTAATGTTTAATAGAACACTTTTGAAACTAGATTTTATAAGCAATCTAAGTACATTACCAGATATTATGTAAGCATTCGAATGGTATACTAATGGAATAATAATAAGATTTATAATCCGAAATAGAAACTAATTTAATATTTAAAGTACAATTTGAATTTTCTATATATATTTAAATATTCGTCAGATCGATTAATTTTATCAATAATTACTTAAAAAATGATTATTGAAATAAAATGTAAAATAAATTTATTAAAAATAAATAGCAAATAAATATAAAAAATAAATATAAAAAAATTAATTAATAAAAAAAATTTGAAACATAAATATTTAAGAAAACCATTACTATTTTTATTATATTATGAATTTTATGCAATGTGAAATTGATTATTTTTATATAAATATTTCATTTATTATTTGACAATATATCACAAGCAGAAATTTTATTTAAAAACTAATACTCTAAAATACAATTAAAATAAATATTGCATTTCGTGATAAGTCAAATGAAGGAAATCTTTCATTAAATACAACACTAAGTATATATATTTTCAGTAAACAATAATCATTTGGTGACTTAATACTTATCACGGATTATTAAAAAAAACAAGCTATGAGCTGTATTCATAGATTTTATTTTTTCTAACAAAATATTTATATTTTATATTTACATATAAATTTGTATAATAAAATATTTATATACTTTTAATATATAACATATTTTTATTTACAGAATATTATTTAGATTTTTAAGAAAACCTATTCGACTGAACGTTTTCAATTAATCGATGTAGCATTTGAACGTTTATTCGATCATTAATACTTATACTTAATAGTCATCCTAAGCTGTAAATGAATTCCGTTCACTTCAGTAAATCTAATTCCATAAACTTTTCATAATATGAATCCATTTAGTTAATGTTTCATTTAATATATGAATACTCTAGCTACCTACTGTCTTTTTCTTTCAATTACTTGTACTTTTTTCTACTATAAATCAGAAAGGCCTATATTGATGCTTCATTTTGAAGAAATGCTAAATACACTCTTTATTGACTCTTTTATCACGAATATGATAATATGAAAGCTTTGTTGCAAATATAAATATTGTAATGTATATTATTTTATATTAAATAAATTAATATAAAAACATTATTTAGCTTTTTTATTGAAGAAATTTTGTCTCCTTCGGTAAAATCTATCCATTAAAAAATAATTAATGACTTACATATATTTAAGTACATATTTAATTTTTATTATCTAAAAATATTCTAATTGTTTAATTTGATCATATATATGATCAATAATGTATTTACACATTAAACCTGTAGACTTTGCTAAATACAGATATGATTCTATTTTCCATAAAACTTATCGATTTCATTACGTTTATTATATTTGAAAATCCATTATCATTAAAAAATTGTATAGATTATCTTTAAATTATAATATACAAGATTTAATATATCCCACATTCCTCGAAGTAAATTTAGTGAAACTAAAACGTGCCTAAAAATGAAAGAATAAAATAAAAATAAAAATAAGAAAATCTCTAAAAGTCAATATTTCAATATTCTTTTGATGATTATTTATCTTGAATATTGTGGTAACTCGGTCCTTTCATTTTCATGATAATTTTGACTCTTATATAATAGTTCAACACCAATGACCATCTTCTCATTAAATATTATCGCTATTGGAGCTGATAATGGTCAGGTAAACCATTAAGTAAATATAAACAAAATTATGTTCGTTACTGAACATGAAATATGATTTATATTTCTAACAATGAATAATTATATATATTTTTCAATCGTTTTTATTTACCCGCAAGTATCAATGTAGTGGTTTCGTTTCATTTTGGATTTATTCAAAACTAAGGCTGAAAATGTCTTTAGATAAAACTTATAAGTAAGTAGAAGTAAGGTTTGACTAATATTAATAATTAATAAATAAAAATATAACTATCGTAATGTTTATTTTCCCAATGTACATTCATCATAATGTACGTTGCATAAAAATTAGAATATGTTAATTAAAATTGTAATATATTAACAGAATATTGTGAATCTATTAAAAACTTTGGTTAATTGTCCATAAATTTTTAAAATTTAAGTATGAGAGTTTTTATATAATGTAAGATTACTGTATGTTAATATAGGGAATATAATAAAAGGCAATAAATGTTTCTAAATTATATGAAAGAATATTAATATTTTGGTGACTTGTATTTTTAATAAAAAATAGACTGTCTCAAAAATAGTATAAAGAGCATGTATGAGATACTTATCAATAAATTTATTGATATGTAGTTCAAATAAATATTCGTATCTATTTCATAGAAAACCAATAAATTTTAATTGCATTAAAATATAAATTGGAAATACCCTGCAAAAGCAAGATTAATATAGTTTAATAAAAGTCACTTCAACTGTATAACTACAATATTCACAATTTCTAAATTAATTGATTTTCATTTGTTTATTGATCCATTTAATGAAAGGATCGATACGACAATATACCAGCGGTATGCCGTAAGTGTTGCATGGACTCCAATTCCAAGTAAGAATTGCTATTAGCACAGGTGTCTTATCCTCATACTGAATAAGTGGAGCTCCATTGTCGGCCTGCCAAAGAGTAAAGTCGTTATATTATTAATTTATATATTTAGAAAACTATATAAATCACATCTTTCATTTACTTTTTCTAATTATGTGAAATTTTCTCGAATATTGAGTGAATTTTTTGTCCTCCGTACATTACATCATAAAATCAAATGATTTATATTTTTATCAACAAATAATAATTGAAAATAAATATATTAGTAAAAAATTTTTACGGCACTTTCAATTTTGTATTTACTAATCATTAAATAAAACAAATTATTATAAGCGTAATATACATTAGTATTGTATCTCGCGCAATAAACATTAAAAATTTGTTCATCCAAAGCATAAACGATAAAGGACTTACAATACAGGCTGAAAGACTCCCATCTAAAGGCCTCGTGCACATTTGCGTATCATATAGTTCAATACGTCGATTAACAGTCGCAATGGAATCCATGCAAACTTTGTTGGGAACGACAGGGAGATTCACGGTACGCATAATGTCCATGTTCGCATTATGAAATGTATAACCGATCGAGCCCCAGCCACTCAATATCATGTTGTAGTTAAGCTTGTAGCTATGCGAGAACCAATTATTTATCCGAGGAAGCTTGATTGAATGTACACGATTGTTAAAAATGAAAGCTGGCTGCAGCTTTATCAATCCCAAGTCGTAAGGCATTAAATCCCTCAGCTCTACCAATCTTATAACGATTAAATCAACAACTTAGCAAATATATTAAAATATGGAAATAGCTATTATATATTAATTTTCAATTATTCACAAATATGTATTATTAAAATATTATTTTATTAATGGGTCTGAAGAATCTGTATAGTTTAACAATTTCTACAACCATTTAACATCGTTACATAATTATTCTGTTATTTTTTAAAACACAGAGTACCCTATACTAACAACTTTTTCTTTGACCAACCTTATTAATTATATCAAATAAATCAGTTTGAGCAATCTTAATCAGTACACATTAACGATTTGTAATTTTCTCACTTTGTATATTTATCGTAAATAATGGTTCTCTCCGCGCCCGTTGTTTGCGTATATTCGTCTGTATTGGAAATATTGTGACAGCCAGCCTTGATTTTAAATGATTTAGCCGGTATGTGAAAGATACAATATGCAGACGTAATCACCCAATATTCGCTCAGGATCGCACCACTGCAAGAGTGTATGTACGGACTTCCTTGTCGAAGACTCCACTGTATTGACACTTGGTGCGGGAATTGACCGGGTTGGGCAAATTTAGGGCGATCCCACATAAGCACAGTGCCTACTGTATATTAAATGAATGTTATTAAATAATATTAAACGAATTGTTATAAAATAAATTATACTTAAATGGATATTATATCGTTATACTTTTGTAAAATCCGTAAAAGCACATAAATACAAAATAATAATTGTCATGAAAATTATAAACACATAAAATCTTACGATTTATATCTAATATAATTAGTATAATTTCATAGAAATAATAACATTTTAAAAATAAATATTTAATAATATTAAATAATGTATGGTATTATTTACATTTTATAATTCAAGTGTATGGAACAAATTATCTACACACGGCAAATCACACGGCAAATTTTCACTACATCTAATTCTCTGATATTAAAATTCAAAATCAGAATATTTAAAAAAAAATCTTTAATAAAATAACATAATTCTTAAAATATTGACGTTTTCGATCTATGTTTTTAAATATATTATTGAGTATCGATATTAGTCATTCAATATACATAATGAAAATCTATTTTATTCAAATTATTATATTATTACAGAATTAGAAAAAGATTAAAAAAAAAAATTAAAATTTCTAATATTATTTTTATAATTATTAATTATCAAATACGAAATGTACTTCATTAGTATAAGAGTAAAAAAAAAACAATTTGTGTTTCACTGGAACATTTAAATATATTTAAATATATTCTTATTAAATTTTATTTAAATATATTGTTTAGAATACTAAAACAGATATATTTAAATTAATTGAACCATTTATTAATTATTTTCTCTTTATAATTAATTTTTTTTTAATATATAAAATTATATGCAATAAGATCCATATAAATTTTTTCGCTTATATTTTGATAAACAAAATATTCAGGAGTAATAAACGTACGTCCAAATATTTATAATACTGCATAACTTACCTTGTAATAGCAGGAATACACATAAGGTACGAATGATCATTTTAATAATACTTATATAGTTTACAATAAATTATCCAACAATAATATTTCAATATATTTAGACATGGATTTATATGAAAAATTAATCAAATATTTCTTACTTTTATACTGCCAAAATGTTTCCCAAAATATATATAATTCTTATCGTAATTTTTTGAACTTTCTATGTATAATCACTTTGTTTCATTATTTCATTAGGTATTTAACCAAATAACATAATCACAACTGTTTTACCTTTTTCAACTATAGATCAAATAGCAATTCTTCATTTTAAACAATTTCAGTATGTGTAGATGAAGTTTTAAATGAATGTTCTAGATCAACAATCTAAACTAGAATCAAATTTTTTCATAATTCAATTGAGTTAAAAATTTTTTAATAATTAATTTTACTATATTAATGAAAATGAATTTAAAAAACTTTTATATTAACTTATGTACACAATAACTATATATAAAATGCTTTGAATATTCAAATATTACAGAATAATTTATTAATCGGATATTTGAATAATATTAAAATATTTGAAAAAGGTGTTGTAGGTACACAGAGTTTTAAAAATATAAAAAAAATGTTCAAGTCCAAATATTAAAAGAATAGAAATGATAATTCAATTTTCACTTTAAAGGAGGAAAATAAAAGAGTAGGAAATTAAATACATTCCGTCTTTTTATAAATTTATAATTTAATAAGTTTAAGTTTCAAATTTAAATTTAGTATAATTTTATAAAAGAAAACTAAAATAAACTAGAATGAAGATTAATTTTAAACTTTATATTAAGAAAGAAAAAACATATTTAAAACAAAATCAATCTAATGTTACCATTCACTGATAAGATAATAAGGATAATAATAAATTATTTAAAACCATACAGTTATATTGATATTTATCTTTTTAATTTTCTATTCTATCTAACATGAAAATAAGTACAAAAACCATTAGCATATAACTGATTATTATTTTAAATGCCAATTATATACTTACTATGCTTTTTAAATGTATTAATTATATCTACATATTGCTTTATAGAAATTATTTAATATTATTTATAGTTTGCATTATATTAAATTCTATAATAATCAATAAAGTTAATAAGACATTTTATTCTATTCAATAAAATATAAATGAATATCAAATTATAATATCAACAGCGAAATTAATTTTTTAAATTATGTGATGGTATAATAAATACTATTGATAAACACTTACAGTGAGACCCGATTAATTGAATACATTAATGTCATACATTAATGTCATTACATGCTTTTTACGGAAATATTTAGACGTCCATACTATATATTATTATAAGTATTTATTTTTAAAAATTGAACATTTTTAATGAATGTAGGATATATGGACATGGTTATTTCAGCTGGTTATCTATTAAATGTGCACTGTAATACAAATATCACATATTATTATAATTTTATTATAATTTTTGAAAAATTAAAGAATTTAAAATAATAATATAATTATAATATATACAAATATAGAGCTCGAATCAACAAAGTTTGTAAAATAAATAAAAAAATTTAAAAAAAACTAATAAACACTGAAAGCCTTCGTAATTTCATTTCGGTAAAGATTCTTGCACTATCTAGTTTATCGAATGACGTTTTGAGTTAAATAAACTATAGGTAAATAATAAACTGTGTGAAATCAAACACTGATTTTTGAATTGATCCAGTTGAGAAAGGAAGTGACCCGCGTGTAAACGGTCGGTGAAGGAATTGCCGAACCGCAAGGTGTCAAATTCCAGGATTCAATGCCAATCAGTACGGATTTACCCATCACATTTTGGACTAGTGGACTGCCATTGTCGCCCTTCGAAATATAAATTATTTATTGAAAAATTATATCGTAAAGTGACATTATGTAATCATATTCAAAACCGCTTTCATGAAAATGCAATTTATTTTTACAAACCACTGAAATTTATTGAATAGGTACCATTTTTTTCTTACTATAAAAAAAAATTCTAAAAAAAATTTATGTATTAAATACTAAATTTAAATGTAAAATACAAAATTTATTTACTTTACGTAATGTTTCATTATTCTGAAATAGAGAAAATTGATAGAAATATATATCTTTGTATTTTAAATAACTAATGCGAATAATTTATACGTTATACATGTACATATACTAAAAACTGATCAATGAAATTAATTAATATTTTTTAAATACTATACTTAAAATCAGTTAAAAGAGTTAAGGAATTCCTCAAAATAACAGATCAGTGAGATTTCAATATAAATTATAAAATTAAGCTCAAAATAATTTAAGAAAATGCCATCGAGTTACTATAAAAAATTCATTAAAATATTTTAAAATTTTAAAGTGTAGCCAGCCATCATTCTTAATTTACTTGCATAAATATCTTCAGATTCGTTAAATTGCAAAAACCATTTATATAACGTCAATTATAGAATAAAACTATCCGTATTTAAAATAAAATTGAAATAGCTTATAACACTGTACATAGAATAACTCCTTTCTTTTTTCTTCTATTAATAACACAATTACATTAAAATTTTTCGGTATCTTTTGGTATAAAATTATAAATGTCTTTTATATACAGTAATAATTTTTTTCGAATGTTTTATTTAAATTGTTATACAAAATTTATGATTTATTATATGTTGTGTTAAATAATACGTCACTATCAGTATTGACTCAAAGAAGTAATGATATTGTTTTTTTAATTTTCTTATTATGTTTTACGTAGATATTTTCTAAAAATTGAAATTGTAAAAACCATGAGAATGCCTTGTCCTTAGATACTATAAAAGTTTAAGCGTATAATAAAGGTCCCTAAGTCGCAACACATCGTAAAGACAAGAGCAAACAATTTAATACTCACCGGGCTAGTGGATAGAATTTTTTGTTCTATTGTACAGAGTTGGATGTCGTAAATGAAGCTTCCATCCTTAATCTCCCGACAATATGTCTGGCATTTTTCATTTGTAATTATGGATACCGTGGATGTCTGTAATTTCTGTCGTAACTTTGGATGAAACTTGTTACAGGCCGAACCCCAGCCAATAAGTACAGCAGTTTCAATTGATACGTTGCTCTGTACTGGGAAATCGATAGGACTTACACGCTCGTTATAGATTATCCGGTTCTTCAGCTTGAGAAGAGCGATATCATTCGGTGCTATGCCGCTAATAATTTTTACTTAATTAATTATTATCCATTTCATATCAAAGGTATTTCGCATTATTGGCGGAGAAGGATGGATATGCATGTGCAATATTTATTATTACATTTTCATAGTATATAACTTATAGTTTTTAATGTACTTCGACATATATATGTCCATTAATGTAATTAGTAATTATAATTGATAATAGATTTCTTAAATAAATTATTATTTTAAGAATTATGAATATTACCTATTTGAAAAATTATTACTGGAAATGCCATTATCAAACAAATTCAAAGTTAATAGCATTCATTTGATAAAATTGACGAATAGCCTCACCCCGCATAATCTTCATGGATGATGAAGTTTTCAACGTCGATTGTTTGTGTATGCTCATCGCTATGCAAAATGTCATAGATGCCGACCTTGATTACGGTTCTCCCGAAATTTGGCGAGCTGGTGACGCAGCTTCCGAGCGTTAAGATCCAATCTGGTTTGATGATCGTTCCCGCACAAATGTGCTTTAGTCGAATGAAAGGTGGCATGCCCCATTGCATGGAGGCCACGTAAGGAAATTGACCAGAAATTGTGTCACTAATCGCTTCTACGCGGATCAAGTCCGAAAATATGATGCTGACTACTATTGATCGAGAGTCGATGAATAGAAATAAATTTATGGTTTATTTACTTCAGAGATGCATTGTAAATAGATGAATTGTTTATTGATTTTTTTAAGATCGATTTGCCTAAAGTTACATTAAATATGATATTAGAAGGTCATATGTACGTCGGTCAAAATGAATCAAATTCACCCAATTTATTTGACTGGAAGACTTGATGCATAAAATACTAAAACCTTACTTCAGAAATATATGTATATTATTTGCAAATATAAATTAATAACCATTTATACGTGTGCGCGCGTACGTGCGTACGTGCGTGTCTAAAAGCACATGTATGCGTATATAATGATGAAAATAAGAAGTTAAGTAAAATTTTAATAATTAAAAAAGATATAAAATTAAAAATTTACGCTGATATAAAAAGCCGATATTTACATGATTATTTAGATGACTATTTTATGATTATTTAAATGACTTTAGATAATTGTGTAATTCCTTATAATCGCGAAATTATATAAATAGACCGGTTCTATAATTCTGAATATAGCGTTTTTAGAAGTTTGTTAAAAAAAATGTTCTTAAAATGTTAAAATATTCAAATTTAAATAAATTATTTAATTTGTACAAAATTGTCCATTATCTATCATTAAAGAACATAAAGAATTTGCGAAATATCCAAATTATTAATTTAGTAATAGAAATAATATTTCGATAATAAATGTAGCGCTTGGCTTGCCTACAGAAGTTCACTGTACTTCCTATTCATATACCAAGCCAATCCAATCCACAAATTTCATACGATGCTATTTTAACCAAATTTCTCTGAATTGTCTTAATGATTTTGACATTGTGTGGTACAGATATCGCAATAGTAAGAGTATAACTATTTAATCGCCTCATTTGTCAATAATGTCAATAATGTAACGATCACGCTTTAGACTTGATTTAATTTGCTGATAGTCGATCTTTTTGATAGACTAAGAACGTTGAAAAATATTACCTTATCTTTAATCATTTACAGAACACATGATTTTTTACAAACGCAAAAACGTGATATACTCTACAGCGTAAAGCGAAGATAAATATTTTATTACCAGTGCATATTTGTTTTACGCTAAAAATACTGGGAATATCATAATATCTAGCTCATAGGTAATTAGAAAAAAGTATATAAAATAAAAGATTAATGTTTTCACATATTTGCGACCTTTAATTCCAAGCATCACAACACTCTTTGTTTAATTATATCATCGATATTCAGACTAATTTATATAAAAATTGAATAAATATTTATGTGATGCTACATCGAATTAGCATAATTCATAAAGTATCTATAATATATAAAGTAATAAATGTATTTAATTGTAAATTTTCATTACACCCCGAGAATATACATTGTGATTAAAAACATTTGTGCAACAACTTCATTATATAAAGAAATTCGTTTTATAAACCTGAGAAATATATTTAAATAAGCTAAAAGAAATTTAATTTAAATAAATTAAAATTTAATGAAATTGAATTTATACAACAATTTATTATACATTAGGCATGTATCCATACTGTTTGGAAAATTAAGTATATTTATAAAAAAAATTAAATATACATTCAAAGTTTATATTTATGAAATTTACCTTGGATGAAAATGAGTACACATGACGATGTAATGATAAGCTTCATCTTATCGAAACAGATTTTACATTAATAAAAATCTAAATGCCTTCTCGTATTTATAGTTATTATTCAATTTCAATATCCGAATAGTAAACTTTTTAATAATATTACATTTATTTTTTAAATTTACTCAGTTCTCATTCTTGATACCTAACATCGCACACGTTGATATAAAGTTGTTAACGGTGGATATAAGCTGATAAGAAAATAATATAAAAAGCTATATATTATAATTTTTAATATTCAACAAAATTAAAAATTTAGAAAATATCTATCTCCGTGAAAGAACAATAATAATAATAATAATTATTAGTATTATTACTGTTATTTTATATTATTAATAATATATATATATACCTTTTCAAATTTTTAGTATGTCAAAAATGCAATTTATAATATATATATATAATATATAATAATTAATAACTGTTATTTTATATTATTAATAATATATATATATACCTTTTCATTTTTAGTATGTCAAAAATGCAATTTATCATATATATATATATAATATATAATAATTAATGATAATTAATTATATAATAAAATTAATAATGAAATTTAATGTACTTCTTCTTACATATTATATTAAAATAAAATGTATAAAAATATTTTATTAGCATCATTTGTAAAAAAAATTTATTGTTCTTGTAATTATTATTAATATTAATCGCCTTGTTAAATATACAATTGTATTTATAATTTAAGCCTATGATTAGAATATTTAACTTTCTAGTCTGGTAGTAAAATCAATTTTGTATTTCATTTAAAAAATTAATTTGTTAGGATAACTTATGAATTAGAATAAATATAAAAATAGTACTCAAACACAAAAATAATAATTAAACTTAAAAAGAATGATAATCAATGTGGTATAATAATAGTAATAATATAATCGTAGAAATGTCACTTCAATGAAATGATTAAATGTAAAAAAAAATTAATCAAACATTGAGTTACATATAAATTTAATTTTTCATTATATAATTATTTCAAATTATTAGATTCAATTATTAGAAGTTAAATTATTCTTCAGCAAATAGAGCTCGACTTTATACTATTTGATGACGACAATTGCAAGGCAACATACATTGGACAATATGTATCATTTATTGTATTCTTTTCAGTGATTCAAGAAATTTCATATTCTAACATAATTCGCGTTTACAATTTCAAATTGAATTACGCAAATTAGTGCTTAATAAAAAGATATCTCATTTTTAATTGTACTACAGAGTATTAACAATTGCAAATATAATTTCAAAATATACAAGCAATTTATCTTTCTATTAAACAAAAAATTAAAATTATAATAAAATATACTTGTATTATGAAATTTATAATGAAACTGGTTTTCCATATTCCTTGGAAAAACCTATGCCAAAGCATTATAAAACTTTAATTTTAAATACAAATTAATTAAATATCAAATAATACAAAAAATGCAATATCATTAAGATAATAAGGAAATAAAAAAAAATTCACAAAGATGTTCTGTATTAATAAACGGTAATTATAGTATTAATTCAATTATATTGTTGATCTATAAGTTAATCTATAAATTATAATTATATGTATTTCAGTGAATAATATAATAATCATTTAACCTTCAATCGAAACAATAGAATTAAGAAATAATGTAAACCAGACTCAGACATTTCTTAAATTAGAAAATAGATATGGGACGGTCTTTGAAATAGCAGATAACAAAATAAATAAAGATTCGAAGAAATTTCATCAAAAGCATAATATCAAAGTTAAAGAAAAAATGATTTAATTCTGAAAGATGACAAAAGAAAACAGTAGAAGAAACACTACAAAACTATAAGTGTCTATTACATAACTGTATCACGTCAAAAATATTAGCTCGAACAATTTAGTATTTGTAAGCCATTAATAATAAAACATCATTTTTCAGCAATAAAAAATATATTTTATAGAAATATTTTGCAGGTAAATTTTTATTATTAAATAATAAATAAATTTATTAAAATGAATTTATTCGAATAGCATATTAAGGTTTATAAAAGTATTTTTTAATATAATGAAATACCAGGCATATTTCATTCATTACAATTCAAAATATTTGATTCTACGTGTACATTTGAAAAAAAGTAATATTTACAAATAGTACTCCATTGTGTCTCAAAATGATATAAACAAACTTCATAATTTGAGGAAAAAGTTTTTTATTAAATGATACTTTTTAAATGCTGTTGGTCTAAAAATTGCCTTAAAAGAAGGAACTATTTTATGTACAAATATTTCATAAATTTACAAAAAATCTGTTGTAATTGCATTGTAAAAGAAATTAATATGTTAATTCAATTTATTTTCATGGATTTGATTTAAAATTCAAAACACTGAATTCTAGACAGACTGTGAACAATGAATATATTTAGTTATGTTCCATGCTCGTGTGTATCCACTCAATAAAAGAGGAATCTTGCGTGTAAACTGATGCACCAACACGGTTGTATACCCCAAGAAACAATACCTATTTTCACAATGACATCGTTCTGCTACTGGACAAGTGGACCACTAATCTCACCCTAAAAATACAATAGCACTTTAATTCATATTAACTTTAAAAAAGTTAAATAAAAATCCTTATAATTTTTACAACAACGAAAGAGAAAATAATAGCAATGGATTGTTTATTTAAAAAAGAAATAAATTTATATAATGATCATTTCGTAATTATTGCAAAAAGTTATATTGTTACGTGTATTAATTTAAAATTTATTTATTTATATATATATATATATATATATATATATATATATATATATATATATATATTAATATTTATAAGCCTAAAACAAAAGCAACTTAGGAATACTTAATATTAAATAAATTATATTAAAATATAGAGTATTAATAAAGATCGAGACATCTCTATTCACATTGAACATTTAAACATAGTAAATCTCATAATTGATTATATAACAATTAATAAGACAATTTATTCCCAAAATTGCGCCGTTAAAAATACAAATACAAGCTAATATACTTCGTTTAATAATCAAGGAAATTAACTACTTATTTAATTATTCAAAAATAATTCATTGCCATTAAATTATAAATACTTTTTATCATGAAAATTGAAAACTCAAAAAGTTTTCTATAATACAATAAACATTTTAACGCTGTATTAATATTCACTACTTAATATTAATATTTTCTGCTTGATCTATGTAACTGATATCACTTGCGTTAAGTTGAGTTTTAAGGACATTTAATAAATCTACTATTGATATTGTGGAAGAGCCTCACGTGACACCAATATCACTAATTTATACGACATATACTTTCAGACACAAAAATTGTTCGCATTTATCGTAATATCAACTTGGCACATTCCTCAGATCGTATTATTAGATAAGAGGTTTTATGTTTTTTAAACTTACCGAACAGGCGGAAATCTTCCCGTCGAGAAGTCCAGTGCACATTTGAGTATCGTAGTTCATTTCTAAGAGGCCTATGTCCATTATGACTTTGGCACAATTCATGTTTCCGATCACAGGAACAATGGCCATTTCGAGAACAGTGGGTAATTTTGACGCGTCACACTTGAAGATCGAGCCCAAGCCGCTACGAACTGCTTCTCCAGTTTGCACACTATTCGCTACGGAAAGAACAAGGTGACGGACGCGTCGATGATACGTCAAAGCTTTTTCAATTTGAGCAAAGCGATGTCGTTTAGCGTGATGTTCCTGAAAATTATTCCTTAGCGGATTATTCAGACTCTCATTCTCCATGACGCTAATTCATCGACGGTACGTACAAAGTACATCCATCAACGAGAGGTCAAATTAAATATGAAAATTAATTTAATTTATAATTAAAATATATTCATATACTTAGTATTAGCCGTCTTAATCCGTCTTAACCATCCTGACGGTTTGCATGTACTAAGAATATCCGACGCTTTCTAGCTTTAACATTGGTCGTCCCGATTGAAGGTATACTGATGACGCAGTATCCGGCAGTGAATACCCAATACTGATTTATGATGGAACCACAGCATATGTGCGTCATGGGGACTATTGGTAGGAGACCCCATAGTATTGACACTTGTTAAGGAAACTGTCCAGGACTTGTGTCTTTACCTTCAGTTACGAGGCCGTCGATCACCATATCGAACGAATAGCCACTGTTTTCTAAAAGCGTTGAAAAGTGTGGAATTTAAAATGTCGGTACAATAATCACCTTTAAGTTATTGCCTGAACAATTTTCAAAGTTTGAAAACAACTGAAACGAATGGTAAACTTGATATAAGCATCTGAATGAATTTTTAAACTACGAATTATATATATTTTAGAAGTATTTATACATTTAAATAAATTATCGTGAAATTATAAAAATACTTTTAATGATTTAATAATTAAAATATTTTAAGATATTTATTATTTTTATTTAATACAATAATATAATTATGAGTGAATACTCATTTTATATTTGATAAAATACCAAATAAACAGATTAAGACATTGGAAATAATACAGAGCATTCGTAATAAAAAATATTATACAAGTATTCCAAATCATGAAACCAAAATTTTAATAATAATTATCATTTCATTTTTTTTTGTTTTTTTTACGATTGTTTGGCTTATATCTATTTTCTCTTTTTGAATTATTACTGAATAATATCGTCAAATAAATGGATATTACGAAACAACAAAGGTTTTAATAAACTTACATACGTATGAAAAAATTCTATTACACATTTTGTCCCATTATGTGCATATAAATACACTCTTCACTCATTATCTAGACTTGGATAGTATTATAAAATTATTTTAACACATTTTATGAATGTTTCTTCTACGAAATTAAACAAATGTTAGTTAAACATATACCCTATGACAAGAAAAATTCAAAGAAATACTCCAGTACTATGTTATTTTAATAATTATTATATGAGTACAACGATCAAATAACAGATGCATTTGTCAAAAATTTAAGTTTTATATATTAAATTAAAACGTTTAATAATTCTGTTTATTCAGAAAGCTCATTATTTACCTTCAGTTTCGTCTATACACGTAGAAATAAGCAGTGTTCTAACAATTAGTCTAAAATTGGATATAAAAATATGTAAATTTTGTAAAAATACTAAATTTATCATTATAATCTATACATGATTTATATAGTCTTTTTATAGTAAAACAATTGTTAAGATGTATTTTAAATAATCGTAACAATATTTTGATACAAAATGTACTAAAATATTACGTAGTAAATATAAAATATTGTAGTAAAGAAACAAAACATGTTTCTTTTGAAATATAAATTTAAATTCCTAAGCATCAATTATTCATTTTCTCCATCTGAAATTAATAATATTTTTAAGGAAATTACGAGATTGAATTTTATATTCCATTTTAATTAAACTGTTAGAACGTGTTAAACAATTATATTAATATTTTGCATAATAATAAGATTAAACACATCAATTTACATTTTAAAGAAACTTTTAAGAATTATATATATTGAGATATCTAAATTATTAATATTCTAACAAATCAATTATTAATCGAAATAGTTCGTTAAATTTACCATAAATTAACCTTTATATATATTAGAAAGAGAATTGTTCCATAATTGGCATTCACAATAATTATATGGCTACTTACCTCGAATTCATAAAAATGTAATTACAATACCAATAACAACCTTCATTATAGAAAACTGTGTTAATAAAAAAATAAAGAATTATTAATATTTATATCAATTTGAAGTACTTGGATTCTTTTATTATCAAATAAGATTGTGTATATTGTTATAAATTTATCATGATTAACGTAATGATTTAATACTTTGATAATCATTATAAAGTATGACTATAAAGATTATAAATATTAAAATAATTTAGAAACATAAATAAATAAATACCAACGTGTATGTGTAATTATGAATTTATATATAAAATGACCATTATCCACAGCGAGTATCATTTATTATACGAAATAAATTAAGAAATTATTATAAATTATCTTGTTTGTATTTTTTATTGAAATATGAAAGAATTCCAATTATAAAGACAATTTTATTTTAATTATAAGTATATGACTAAATATTAATATTCTAGATGAAAGTATCAGTTCAAGCATTTAATATAATATCATCGTTATGTATTGTTTAACATGTTCATTCACATTTAATAATAAAAAAACAGTTATATAAATGTTATTAAATATAAAAAATGAAAAAAAATACAAAAAGTACTTGTTTATAAAAATAAAAAATACACAAATTCCTTTAAAATCTTTAAATAAAATATCTATTATTTCTATAAATGGAACTATATATATATATATATATATGTATGTATTTAATCAAATTTAGTATATATATATATTTGGTTTTTTATTAATAATTGATAAAAAGAAAACTTGGATACTAAAATTATATTTCTATGGGTTATTAATAAAATTATTCATTAATAATTATAGACCTATCTACGATGTAAGTAAAACGATGTAAACATTCTTGATAAATTTTTTTGTCAATATATATTAAATTCAATATATATTACAATCTATACATAATCTTATTCATAGTTAATATAAATCAAATAATCAAAACATAGTTAATCTTATTCATCTTCAATGTAAAACTGTCATTTTACATAGAATTATCACATAACGAATTCCTAGCAAACTTTTACTATTGAAAATATATTTTTTAATTGAAGGTAACTGTTCACGTTTTAACTTAACAAATTAATAATTTTCTTTTAGATATATTAATTGATAGTCTTGAGTTTGAGAATTTTGAAAGTTTATCAATGCTTATGTAATATTTTATTAACATCACATGTGAGAATAAAAACATAGATTTTTTTTATAAAATCAAACATTGGAATTTCTAATTTAATTCTTTTTTTCATTATATTATGTTTTATTGTTTCGATTTAAATCTATAAGTACATATAATTTAAATTATAATACAGAATAACGTATACCTAGTTTTATCTTTATATATAAAGATAAACTATAATTATATAATTTAATATATATATATATATATATATATATATATATATATATATATTAAACTAAATTCTTTTTAAATTATGAGATTTACTAAGATATTAATTTATATTTCATAAATTTACTGTTGCATAAAATTTATATTTTTACTCAAATAAAAATATTCATTGTACGTATCGAGCTACTGAGTCTACATAAAGGAATTCATAATTCCTTTTAATTCTTGTTAATGATCATTATCATATATCATTGTACATTTTTATATAAAAAATATTCATGTAATATTCATATAATTCTTAATAGAATTCTATGTAGATTTATATTTCATACTACGTATTAAAACAGTACAAATATTGGTTTAATAACAGTTGTCAATGGTCCGGCTTTCGATCGTCAAGAACCTTTATTACATGACTTGAAGTAATCACTTAATTGCATAATAGTATTACCATGATCGCACTGAGATGACTAAGTCTCTTATCATGTTGTTAAATATATTTACTATAGTTACTATGCATAAATCAAACTACATTCTGTTTAATAGTTTGAAATAAGATTTTTAATGTAAATTTGTAAAATAATGGAAGTTATACGCCAGGAACAATTTTTATAATTGAAATTCATATACATTTAGAGCAGGCGTTTTAGAAGTATATATTATATTATACTAAATAATCTTACAGATTACAGAAGAATTATATTTAAATAAAATTTTATGATTCGCATAGTTGTTCTAACGATTATGCTTCTACATATTGATTGTAATTGATTGTTATTCTTGCTAGATTGTACCAAATTACATAAAAATATGTTTAATTGAGAGTCTGATAAAACATAAAATATATAATAATACAATATTCTATGAAATATTTTAACTTTATATTTATTTGTATATTTATGGAAAATTTTTACATTGACAATTAAATTTAAAATATTCTTCTTCATTTTAAATCCAATATTATTAGGAAATTCCTAAGTATTTGATAATATGAAAAGATTAGAATTTTATTAAAAACTATGATAAAAAACATCTGGATTATAATTTTGATACCCATTATCAGTATTCCACGGTTTTATTTTTCTCTTAAATTATAAGTTTCAAATATACATCACATATATAATAATATTTCAATAAATTTAGCAGTTACTATTACCAATGTCTAAAACCGATTTTTTGAATGGCACAATAATTTCATGATAATTTCAGGATTTTTAATCATTTTGTTATCATCTTTACTATTTAGCGACGAATAAAATAATATTTATTATGTTAATACTATAATTTTAATACTTTATATAATGATAACATGGTTAATATAGATAAATCGAATTTATAAATTCTCTATTTGTTTAAGTATAATCGAAATTGAAAGTCAGGCATGTTACACACAAATCAGACAGTTTCGTTCTGGTTCATTCAACACAAATTAAATTAATTCCAATTATTAGTTTTCTTCAATTTTTTCGTTAATCCAATCGACAAAAGCAGAAACCAGAGTGTAGACAGTGGGTGAACCCGTCCCACCACAAGGATACGGCGCCCAAGATGCAATTCCGATTTGAACAGTTGACCCGTTTATTTTTTGAACTAGTGGATCACCAGAATCACCCTTTAAATAAAGAGACATGTTTAAGTAATTTTACAATTTTATTAAATTAGATGATAGTTCACATTCCACGTTATTTAAAAAAATGTACTCTTTATTCAAATATTATAACAAATAGAATATTAATTTTTAAAATAATAATGTCAAAATTATAAGCTTGTGCATTTATCGTAATTTACGAGGCTTAAAATCATTTAATCAAAGAATTTAATAGCTGACGGAATAAGTAGCTTATGATAATATTATGTCATTAATTATTGAAACGAATGGAATGACAAAACGATACTTACGATACAAGCAGAAATTCTCCCATCGAGTGGCCCAGAGCAGAATTGAATATCGCTAATTGATTCTATGGGTGCAACTACTCTCAGCGCGTCTTCGCAATTGCTTTGTTTGATAATGGGTATTTTAGCAAATTGCAAGACATCGGGTAGATTGATGATGATTTTTTTTGAAACAGAACCCCAGCCGCTGAGAATGCCGATGCCTTTCGCATCGTTTTTATTTTTAGGTAGCTTAACGGGATGCACCCGGTTATTTGTTCGTAGGCGAGTCTTTAGCTTCAATAGGCCGATATCATGCGACTTGATGGAATTGAAGAATCTGAAAGTACAATATCAGATTACAAATACTAATAAAATAGGTCATGGTTTGTCGTAATAGAAATTAAAGGTCTGAAGGTTTTTCGATTGAAAAGGATTGAAATCGTAGAATTATACATTCACATAAATTATATTAATGTATTATTTGACGATAATTCTGTACATACTTTTCGTTATTAATTATTTCAGTAGAGTTAGAAAATCGATAGCATCGTCTGTCAATTCAATTGATTTCTGTACTGTTGTTTTGTTGATAACAGTAATTGCACCTAGTGCGCACCGATGCTAGTGTTTTCACAATTGTAAAAATATAGAACCGAAATATTTCATAGAGAAATTCTTTGGCTATTGAATATCTTGAAATACGTATATGTAAAATAATGTCTTACCCCCCATACTCCTTGTGAATAATGCGTAAGAGAACCTCAGACGTCTGAACGAATTCGCTATCCTTGCGTAGTTCGTGCTTACCGACTTTGACTATAGCCCTACCAATTTTCGGGATGGAAGTTACGCAATAGCCGGAAGTAAGAATCCATTGGTTGTTGATAATGGATCCACCACAGAGTGGTATATCCTTGACGATTGGGGGCACGCCGTGCAGTATTAATACTTGATATGGATATTGTCCTGGAAAAGCATCTGCTCCTTGGGTTATGAAGTTACTGTCCACTCTTGATGCCACACTAAAAGCCCGTGATCCTATTATACATGTACTTGTTTAATTTAATTTAATATTGTATTATTATGAAATTCAAAAAGCAAAAATACATTTCCTTCTGAGATTTTCTGGTCATCTATTTGCATTGAATTAAGAATCAGAAATAAAATTAATTAATTTGTAATATATCACGAGATTCATAATATAAGAAAGACAAATTAAAATTAAAAAACAAATGATCCTTTGAAATATTACAAATGCTTCATTATAATTTTATGACAAGTATACATTGTATATTATCATTTATACGTTTCACTTGCAAATATATAGGATATAAAAATTAAGAAAATGCACGTTGAAATCTAAATGGAAATTAATATGTAACACTAAATATATTCTACAATGTTATATTAAAAAATTTGGTTATACTATGCGTTCATATAAGTTTATTAATATATTATACTGTATTATATAAATGGAGTACGCAATCTAATGAACGAAATTTCAATTCAGATTTATCCTATTAAAATAAAGAATATTAATACATTATATATAAATTATGTTAAATATAAATTACCTTGAATCAACAGAAATATAGACAAAATATCAATTACATTCGCCATGCTAAAAGCGTTGAAACAAATAAGCAATACAGTCACAGATATTTATATAATAATTAACAGCGACAGAAATCACTAATAATAATTCTTATCAGAGCTTACTGAATCGTGGAATTTAAATACTCAATATCAAGATCAAGATCTTTTAATTATAAAATTAATAAAAGCATATATAATTTATTTTAATATCATCAAGGCATTCAATAAATCAAAATAGCTTGATATAAATACTATTTTATAATTACAAATAAATAATATTTGTATAAAATATAGCATAGAGTAAATATCAATAATATTTTATTATAACAACATTTGCAAAATAGCTTACGAATTAATTTACTAGTCAACGTAAAGAGTGTTGATATTTAAAACATGATTTGATTAAGTAATTTCATTTTTCAAATCTATCAAAATATTATTTATCATATAGTTTTAAGCAAAACTATGTAATCATTCTGCAATCTAATGACACATATATTTTATTGTTAAAAACTTCCTGCTAATTCTACATCTTTATTAGCATTATCAGGTTTGAAAATCGATTTTATTTGCTAATTTCGACAGAAGCTTATCAGATATTTATAAGCATAGTGTTCACCTTTCTTTTTAATTGGATTATCAAAATCTATCAGTCAATCAATTCTTATAAAAAATTAATCATTTCTTTGTAATAGTGAACATAAGACAATCAAATTTTAACATAAAATTGAATAGAATTATTAAAATAGAATCAAACAAAAAATTAATGATAAAAAATATAATAAATATAATAACTACTATATCAATAATATCTATTTTTATATAATAATACTGTTTCTTCAATTTTAATGTAATATTGAGATTTTTGTAATATTGGTATTTTGAGATTTTCGTAAATTGAATTATTTTCTTATCATTAATATACATTTAATTTGTTCTTAGATTTGTAATGAATCCATTAAAAAATATATAATACACGAGCAGTTCTTATAACAATGTTACACTATTAATATGAAAAATATTAATAGTTTTTTATAACAATATTATATAAGCCATATTTAAATACATTATGGAACTAATATATTATATAATGAAAATAACGAAAAGTTTTATTTCTTTGTTTCAGGTAAGTTGGCGATTGAATTACGAAATGAAGTACCAAAATTCATTAAGAAAATTTAAATTTATTCGTGATACGGGCTGTAACATTTACAAATGTTTATCTTTACTAGGTAAACCCATTACTCGATAAATAAATTTATAACAGCAGTCGCTGATACTTATTTACATTTCCATAAATACATAGATGGATATATAAATATTGTCAAAAGTTAGAATTATTGTAATTTTAATATATTTTAATTGAGAACTCCCGATTTCACGCTGCTTCGATTTACAATTTTTTCACGAATTTGACAGCTTCGGTATTGAAAAAGTTTTTGAACTACCCGAAAGTACGGCTCAGTAAATAGGTATCGCATGAAGAACATCAAAGAGAGAAAAAAATAGAAATAGAAACTCAACTCAAATACAACGAGGACAACAAATTAATACGATAATTAAAAGAATTGACGGATCGATGCATGATATTCTTTATTTTCGCTGTTAATTGGATTAAGATATGTAATTAATACTTAAATATGAATTCAGTCAAACTTATCTGTAAATAATATTGCGATATTAAAATAATACGGTGATTACTACATTTTTTGTTGAAAAAGAATTTTATATAACAATAATCGTGATTTAGAAAAATATAAGATAAAATGTTTTAATGATTTACTGGATTGGATGATAAATAAAATTTAACAACAATTTTTTAATAATGAGGCTATCGTAAGTTTAATATAAAATAATTAAACTTATTAAGATAAAAACCACAAGTTTGCCTAATAAAGTATTTGATAATATCATTGAATAATTTTGAAATTAGATTTTTAGATGTCCTTTGTAAAATTACATTATTAAAACATTATTAAAAAGATTTATTATTTGTAAATGTTTGAAATAAAATATCAGCATTTCATGAATAATTGTTATGGATAGAACGAATTAAGGAATTACGAATGAAATCTCATATACCGACACTTTGAAAAATAATCAATTATCGTATTATCATTTTCTACAGACACATCTGCATGTAAAAATATAAATTTTATACAAAAAAATCAAAAAATCAAAAAATGAAAGTAGACTCCTATCTCATATAAGATATGGTACAAAAGGGAAGACTTAAAATAAGTAAAAAAAAAAAAAACAACAAAAAAACTGTAGCAGCAACCCCACTAAGGGCCAATAATGAAGTTAGGGTGACATTATTTTTACACAGCTCACGGAGAAGCAAAAAAAGATAAAAGGTAAAAGAAGGGAGTCTAGGCAGTCGACAGGACGCCATAAAGTCTCTAAGACTCCCTGGCACTTTAAATTACACGAAATTTGTCTTACTTTTCTGGAAGGGATAGCAAGGAGTCGTCTTCCTCGAATCGAGAGACTCACTCCCGGCGGCGCTATTCTAATTTCCGCGACTCTTCCAGTTTCGTAGTCCTTAAACATCCCTGGGGAGTTCCAAGGAAAAAGGGAGGCTCTCACTCTTTGCCATTGTCCTTTTTTACCATCTCTTTCACACAAAAACTGAGTGCTATGGTAGATATAAATATGATTGTAAATTTGTCATCTTTTAAGGATAAATTAAATATGGCATTTTACTATGTTTCACTGTTCAGTTTTTTCTCTTTACATTCGTTTGTTTTTAATTGATAAAATACAAATCAGACAAGATAATTATAATTAGCTTACATTGGAATTTTTATCTACAAATACGTAATATATTTGATTCAACTTTCGATAATCATCTATGAAACTTTAGACAATGATATCAGAATGTATGTAAAAGAAAATTTTCACCTTATGAGAAATATTTTCACAATAATATTATGCGCTTACATTAACAATGATTACACGATTATTCATCTGCATATTCGCTTGAGATAATGTAATATAATACAGAAGGGAAAAAGTAAGAGAAATAATGTCAGGAATACAAATCGCATGTAAAGACATATTTAGTATCTCGCAAACGAAATGCGTATACTCCCGTTCTTTTTAAAATACAGTCATTTCTGTACACGCCTTGCTTTATTGCTCTGTTAGTTTTCGCTGCATTTTGTGACTAATACACATACAGTCACTTGTCACACTTAAAAAAACAGAAGTAGAAATAACCTGTCGCTAGCGGAAAAACGGACAGATGTCGGTTTTCCAGAAAATTAAATGTAATCCAGGAATCGCACGGATGACAGTTCCGATAGGATATTTAGATGAACAAGTGCGTAAATGATAATTGAAATCAGAATGAATATTTAAGGAAAAATCTAATTGCGTTGAATGAATTGCATAGTAGCAGTAGCCAATGTAATACTATTATACGATGGTTCTTGATTAATTCTTTATCAACAGTTACCATTACAAATACGATATTTTACATCGGATATAAATACGGATAATAATCTCATTTAATAAACTAAAGCAATTTCAATATGAACTGATAATAAATAGATAACAAATAATATTAGATAACAAATAATTTTGCAATTACCATTATGAATAATAACGCAATATAATAATATGAAAATACGAGAATGCGATTTTAATAAAAAACAATTGTATTTAATTGTTACGAAAATCGCGAAACATTATTTAAATTATATTCGATAAAATTAAAAAATTGACAATAATTAACAAAAATTCTATATTCTTAAATATTTTAAATATTTAATTGGATAAAGGAGCTAAAATACTGAGTATTTCATAATTTTATTTTTATTCGTTATTACTTAATATTAATATAAAAAAAATATATGACATTTTCATATAAGAATTAAATATAGCAAACCTATCGTAAATTATCGAAGTACTTTTTCAATATATTTATAATATCAATTTCATTTTTTTAATTATTTTTCAGTAATTTAATGTGATTATTATTATCAGCCAAATAAATTTCTATAATCGGTAAACTTTCGTAAAGATAAGCTGAGCAACCAATTTTTTGTTAAATTCAATAATAAAAAAAATTAATCAGATAATTTGCAATTAGGAAACTTTTTTTTAATATCGATATCAAAATATTATAATAGAAAGATTTATTAAATTGAAGGCTCTTTTAACCTTTTCTTGAAAAGAACATGGAAATAGAAGGTAAAAACTCAAGAAAGAAAGGAAAGCTATAATATCGTTGGATTTAATTCTCGCTTGGGCAATTGCAGACCCCTCCTCTCATTGCCTTTCTCTCTCTCTCTCTCTCTCTCTCTCTCTCTCTGTCTCTCTCTGTCTCTCTGTCTCTCTGTCTCTCCCTAACTATATATTTATCTATGTATCTATTACCTATATGTCTCTCTGTGTGATTGTCGTACTATGTATCTAGCTTATTCTTCCGGATATGTAAGGAAAAGCAGTGCTGAAGTGAATGTGAAAGAGAAAATCATACTCATTTCGGTTCCTTATATTATAAAACACCCTGGGCCCACAATCTCTTCAATGGGATCGCTAAAGCATGCAAATATTTTGAAATTCGAGCAGAATTCCAGGGGCACTCGCTAAATGCAGCCACAAAACTGCCGCATACCATTCGGCATGTACATTCGAGTTTCGATTCCGTTTCCTCTGTCTTTACATCGGGATTTGCTATGTACGCCCACATTTCACAATGCCGAAGTGGATTAGTCCATGATAAAAAGTGAAGTTTAATTCTACAGACTACTCGGCATTTCCGCAAGCGCGCATCGACGTGCATAGTCTACGAGTGTGTAGCCCAAGGCAGACTAATTTCATTCTTCGGATTGTTTTCCACCACAGATCCTTTGCGCTGAGTGCTTGATTTTCCTGGTGCAACTAACTCTATGAATTTTACATTTAAAATTTTCACTTAAATAAACTACAAGTTCATATTTAAAATTATTTACATTTAAATATCTGAGAAAACTTTTCAATTAAAATTATATTTATGATTTCAATTCCATATTGCACTTAAACTATTAGGCTATTTTTATAAAATATTTATAAAAATGATGAATAA